TTTTTTTAAAAAAAAATTTTTTTTGAAGTACATTTTAGGATTTTTCCTTTGTATTTGCTTATAGGATCGGTTATGACTGGATGGATACCGGTATATGATACCATGCATGGTATACGTGGCGAAGTAAACATTATTATCAAAGTGGAGTTATTTTCTGATTTTAACAAATTCAGGCAGTCATCCTGTGGAGTACAGTTTTTTTACTGTAAGTATGGTTATTTCTTCTGTACTACACGCGTTTGTTTTTTTGTAATATACAATTTACATTATCATATGTTACACTTGTGTATATGTGTGTAATAGTCTACAAATCAAAATTATGATTTTGAGATATTTTTATAAATAATAATTTCAACGTGTTAGCACCAAATATACCGTATGGATATCACGCACAAATGATACATGGATTTGTTGAAGAACTTGTGGTTAGCGATGATCCGGAATATAAATGGATCGACAAAATACGAACGCCTAGAGCATCGAATGAAGCGCGGCAGACGTTATTTTTTAAATTAAGTGGAGAAGTTCAAAGGAAGATCGGGTTGAAAGCACTGGATCTTGGTGGAAATGCTGTGATTGGGTACATTACTTTTAAAAATATGTTGTTATTTTATAACATCGTTGCTCACAGATATATCGTATAAAGGGATATTGATTCGCTTAAAATCATTCTTACATTATTTAGACTTGTTATTTTATCATATAATTTGATGTATCATATTACAGATATTTACAGAACTTCGATTTGGAAGGCGAGTCTGGCATTGTTGCTAGAGGCATAGGCACAGCAGTGACGCTCGTAAGATTGCACGATGTTCTTGGTTTCCCATGCGACAATGTCAATATTGAAGAGTAAGTATTTTTATACCGTTTTTATGAATTTTATTTATGTAGAAGAGGAGAGGAAAAATATCGTCGAGACAAATAGTATCTCGTTCAAATGTAATCACATGTTTGATCAACAATAAACGGTGAATTACTACGCAATTGCGTCTGGCATCGTAAGAGCCAATTAAGCATGTCGCCAAGTCACATAATCGGCGATAAACTTGGCACTTGCTAACGAGCTATTTCGAGAATTTTGTGCAAGGAAATGTAACAACTTTTACGGCTGAGACGTTTTATCTGAAAATAATTCGTGACAAATGGATATGTGCGACCAAATATCGGGTAAATTGATTTAATCTATAAAGAGCAATGTGATACGGTATCGCTATTGCCTTCCGTTTGATTCTTTGTCACTCATCCACTTTGCGTCACGATTACATCAAAATGAATGATGTACTTAACGCGTCATTGAAAAGCTGCTGATATTATTAAGGCTCGATTGTTCTCTTCGGCGCTGTACTTGTTTACGACGTGTCAGAGACGAGAAATTACGCTCGAAACATTTCTTGCAAATTGAAACTTTTTTTTAAATTTTTTTGTTTTTTAATGAAATGTTAATGGTACCAAGATATTCAAAAGAGCAAAACATATGCTGCAAACTGAGTTATAGTAAAAATATAGAACGTGTTGAAAATCAAAAAATGAAAAAGCTATAGTCAAACTGAGTAACAGTATACCTACTACTTCGTGAGTCATCTTACAATTCTTCAAGAATGACATATCGGACAGATATGTCAAAGTTTGCGGCATATTTTATAGGTTTCAAGATTGCAAAACAATTATATTTTTAAGAGAATCAAGTTACGTTTGCTCGTTTCATAGATATTGATTTGATTCGATATTTTCCATACGATAAAATCAGCCTTGTTTTTGTTGCGTTTTTCAAAGATATTTGAGTAAGTCTTTTTTTATGAAAAGTGTTTTCTATATATTTATATATTTTTTCTAAACAAAAATAGTTTTCTCAGATTATGTCTCTTTTAATTTCTCTAAAGATTATCTCAAATTTTTTAAAGATTATTAAGTTTGTTATTGTGCATTTTTACTGTACAGGATGTGTGAAAAATTTTGACACAACCAACATGTGAAGATAGATGATTGAGTCATTCTGAACAAAAAAGTTGTTTGCCATTTTGCAAAATTCGTAATATTTCTCGAGTTATTAATTACTCGATGTGAGTCAGTGAGCACGTGGGAAGCGATGGTACAGACGGATGTATGGTTTTTACTTGTAACAATCAGCTGATCGCAAGAGGGTGTCGTACATCGCTCGTTTGTTTACTCCGTCTGTCGTTGGTAGGACATTTTATGTGTGAGATAAGCCAGATTTTCTTTCCAAATGAAAATTATACACGTCTGTAGAATCCGGATCGTCGCTCCTCACGTGCGCTTATTGCTTCACATTAATTAAGTAATAATTCGCAAAATAAATATTGCGAATTTTGCAAAATGAAAACTGACTTTTTCTGTTCAAATTGATCCAATCTTCACACTTTGGATGTGTCAAAATTTTTTAGACATTCTGTATCAAAGTTAGAAAGTACACATAGATTAATGGATATTTTTCTGTCTTTCCTACCCGCATGCGTTTACATAGAATCGCATTTGCGCTTTCTTCACGTACTAAACCGCAAACAGAACGTTTAAATGCCGAGAAAAGCGCGGCGCTCATTTCCAGTCCTCTTCCTGCTCATGTTCCCGCTTTGTATCCAGTGCGCGTAAGAAAAAGACCCATCGATAGAAGTTTACCTTCGTTTTTCGCGAGATCTTCGTTGTCATTAACTCGCTTGGAATATTTTGCGAAAGCACCGGGAACTCCTGGATACGTTACAGCGCGAAGGAAACATGCCGAGCGCATTCCGTTTTTCCGATGCAATACTTTGAGCACGTTGAATTTAAGAAATTCTAGCGATGTCACTCCGTCTCCTGAATGTTATATTGACGAGACGGTCAGGTCCTTACGTACCATACTGACGTCAGATATAAAAAAAAAGTCATCGAGAGGGCTCTCAAAACAGATTAAGCATCTACGCAGTAAATTTGATTCAGTCGGCGAAGAGAATCACCTCGCAGGGTCCGATCACGATCCCGATACAGATCCGATCGAATTGACTGTCTCAAAATTTGGAAAAGAAGACAATTTCAAGGATAGTAAGGGTAGCGGTGAAATGATGGCTGCATTATTAATTGGATCCATACGGAATATGTCTTTGAGAAACATCGGGAATGCAGATCATATTCCGATTTCTGATGAACAGTTAAATGACGAAGCAATGAAAACGGATTGTACAGAGAATGTTGAGAAAAATGCAAGTGACAACGTAAAAGATGATGAGCAGTCACAGGATGTTTCGTCATCTGTCGATGATGAGATGTCCTCCTGCGGTCCTAACGATAGTTTTACAGACGACGATGATTTGACAGAAGACACGGCTAGTTATAATATTTTAGACGATTCGAAATACTTTGTCGAGAGAGAATTTGATAGAGCGGAAGACTCGACGAGTTTTCAAAAGCTGATGATTCCCGTTGCCCGTTCTAGCGGAGAAAGCTGTGACAATTTTATTCTGCAGATGAATTCGGATACGGCAAATGGTTTGTCGAATTTGTCTCCAAATTCGAATTTACCAAACACAGAAGATATCGAATTGCAAAATCTCGATGCGATTCCTATTATTACCGTGGACATTCACGAAAGCACAGATGATTCAAACGTGTCCAATACATCTGAATTGTCTAAGATTGACGAAAATAGATTTGCTGGTGTTATTTCGTGTAGTTTAATAAAGACCAATACGGTTTCGCAATCAACTTCCTCATTGACTGATAAAGAAAAAATCGGCGACGCCGAACAGATGTTCGATACCTTTCGGAAGCGCCAAACATTAAGCTCAGAGACGCAAGAAAGTAAACGGAATAGCAACGCTACTTTCACTGAATCTGACAGTTTGTTTGGCAAAGTGAAACATCGTGTTTACCTCACCCGACATGAACGAGATCTATGTCGAGCTCATAGCCAATTCGCTCATCAACAAAACGAACAATCGACGCGAACTCAATTTTTATCTCTCGTTGAAAGGGAAGATGACGCGAATAAAGAGAAAAATGATTCAACGATTGACGCTCTCATTTTAACAGATACAACACGTACCGGTGTACCATACAATAAACTTAATGCGAGCTCTATCGAAAGACGGAGATGCATGCGCGATTTGATTAAGTTGATCGATACAAAAATGATGGTTTCCACACATGTGACGCATCGTATTAAGAGACACATATCGTTAAAAAGCAAACGAAGGAAGCGCGATAAAAAGACATGCAAGATTTCATCAAGGATTTCGCTTGAGCGGCCTTCCTCTTACGGTGCATCTACGAAGATATGTGCGTCACATAAACATCGCGAAAAGAATGGTTCTTTTTCGCGCTCGGTTCCTCGCGTCCGCTCGATCCCCGAGTATCTCTCTTCGGATCAGCGGCCGATCTCATACGCTACTTTCCGTTCCTACGGTTCCTCTCTCACTAATTTAACCGATTGTCATCGTACGCGCGTATTGTCAGCTACTTCTTCAGAAACTTTGAAAAAATCTTCAAACCGCAGCAACCATGACGCGGTATTGTCTATCAGCAGCGATCCTTGTAAAACGATAAACACTAATCATCCGTCGTACGACGCAACAAAAGTTGCGACGTGCAAATGCAATAGCGTTTGTAATCTAGAAACAGCATCGTGTCATATTGATTGCACTAAGCCCACTAACATAGCTAATATGACTTACACGTGTGTGTCCCGTCCTTCTCCCGATCATAGGCAGCAAGACGAGGCGTCTGCAAGTCCGTCCTGTCCGCTTCCGGCCGTTCCTTCGGTAGCCGCCAAGATGTCCCAATCACCGGCAACTCGAACACTTGCCAGCATACCGCTTCATCGGAGATCTAGCGATTCCGATTTGAGTGTTACTCCGAAAGGTGAGCTCTATAAAGTATGCATCCCAGTAAGTATGATATATAAAGTTTATGTGGCTGATTAATTATGCAGAAATTTTACGTAATAATTAGAGGATTGGTTTTCAAAGAGATATTTGCATAATCTGTGGACGTATATATGTTTATGTGTGCAATACGCTATTGATATTTAGTATCTAGTTTTCTTCAACAGTTTAATAAAATAAAAAAGAAAAAACAGGATGAAAAAATTGCATTGTGTCTCAGGTAACTCTCTTGGGAGTGATAGATCGATGGCGGGACTTTTAAGGACACCAGCTGCGATGGTTAGACCCATGAATCAAGACACGTTGGAAATGTTAGAATATCCGTTCATCACAATGCAACATTATCCACCTGGTTTTATATTACAGATAGGTAATTAAGATTATTACAGCTTTTCAAAATCAGACATTCTGTCATTCCTATATCCAGTTTTTTAATAATTTTATATATCTATCTATATCTATACTATTTAAAACAGGTGGTTTAGTGAGCTCAAAGTCAGTAAAATTACTTGAAAGAATAAGCAATTTGGAGGAACCAGAAGGCCGTGACGCGTGGTGGACTGAAATCAGAATGGAAGTTAGATCACACGCCAGAGCGTTAGCTTGTAATGTTGTTATAGGCTATAGAGAAGAAACTAGTATATGGTAAGATCTGTTTAATTTATTATTTACTATAATAATATAAGTCTAAAGTTAGTTTTTATGTGATTTGTTGCGCATATCTCGTTACAAAAACAATAATTGTTTTTTCAATAGTGACGATGTGTGTGTACTAAGCGCGTCTGGTACCGCGGCGGTCATAAATTTTCATAATTCTGGTCAAGATACAGACGGTACAGTTTTAAATAAACTTCAACAAAATGCGCCCGTAACTAGCACAGATTCGGATCGTGAAAAAAACCAACAAAAATCGATGGGAACAAAGACAGAGAAAGTTGACAGTGATGCTTCTGTGGCGACTCATTTGGAACGACAAAATGGAAAAATCTGCAGACATTTTTCCGAAAGTAATGATCACGAGAGTCCTTGCAGCCAGTCTCAATTGCGATGCAGTCTGTGTCATCTTCCTTACAGCGAAAGTAGCGTGCCATTTAGAGTTAACGTGTCAAAGTGTGCCATATGCAAACGTGCCAAAGTTCCGGATGTGATATTTACTACTATAGAAGTGCCTGCGAACATCCCAATTACCGGGAGAGGCTGTTTTATTCAAGCGACTGTATGTAAAACAAAAAAGGATCTGCGGGGCGAACTGAACGCAAAAGAAATATCTGATTCTCTCCCCTTTTTGGAATACGAGCTTCATAGTTTGTTATTAAATAAGCTCAAACTTAAGGGCATGAACGCGATCTTTGGCCTCAGGTTGCAGGTTTCCGTGGGAGAACGATTCATAATCGGCATGGCGGTAGGTACCGCGGTTTATCTGACAGCGTTACCTCCACCTACTGTACCTCAAATAGCGTCCGGCAATTCGTGGCATAACGAGGAACAGTTAGCGGAAATGCAGAAATCTATCGTAGACACAGTAAAGAAAAATAGAGAATTCTATCACTTGAAACTCATCGGAACCAACGTATGTGATAATTTAGCTCTGTGTTTATTTCAGATAATGTTATACTAGAGTTTGATTGTTCAATTATAATCGTCGTGCGATTGTAGGAAGCGGAAAATGGGCGCATTCCGAGTACCTCTGATACAGACGAATCAGATGAGGATCTGCCGGAACTTGATTATGGAGTAGGTACTCGAGACGCGTGTATTTTAGAGGTAGACGATATCGAAGACATGGATCGAATATTGTCATTAATAGATGATAGGCCGCCCGACGATTTTCACGTTGTTAATACGCAAACAATACCTGGTCTTGAAGATTTGGAAATTGTTAGAAATTTACAAATGTTCACGCAAGTTTCAAGAGCTAAAATTCCTCTTGGTCAATTTGCGTCGATGCCATCAAAATATTTTGCTAGACTACTTCAGGTATACTTTCTTTGCTCTAAAATGTTTCACGGAAACATCTTGTCTTGTTATTGTACTGCATATTTAGATCATGTACATTTCTTATTTAGAGTTAAGAATTTGTTGGGAAAAGTTATAAACTTCTTTTAATTTAAAGTTTATCTCACTTGTTTTAAATAAATATATATATATATATATATATATGTACGTATATGTTTTAGTCGTTATATTTTAAATTAAGAAGAATGGTTCCTTGCGCGCTATGTGATATGCAGTTTAAAGTTGCATTACCGGAGCAAGATGAAATACAACTGACTGTTGTCGGTATGGCACTTGGATTAGGAGAACCCTTAAATATAAATAAATATAAAAGAAAAATGGTGTGTCGTTCATTGAGCAAGGATCAAGTAAGAAAATCAGGTATTTTTGAAGCAATTTTGTCGTAAATCGCATTTACATTTATTTATATTTATTTAGAGATTAGATTTTATTGCAGTCCATCTACTGCTTGTTGTGTTTTACTGGTAAAATTTATATGAAACTTTGATTGTTTAGTATTTTTAAGACTGATTCTAAGTGTTTAATTGTTGTTGTTGCTACTAGATGATAGTGATATGATATTCAGTCTTGACGAAGATCATCTAGAGAACAATGCCGCAACTGAAAATCCAACACGCAACTGCATAGGAAATTCTGCGACTTTAAGTAGTGTTCTTATACAAAAGCCACGGCCACGTTCACCTTTACGTTTAAAATCGTTTACTACTCATAGACATAAACATGTAAGAATGTCTTTTTTCTGATCAATTTGAATTTAATATTTAAGTTTGGTGTTATTTCTTTAGTTTTAAAGTTTGTTTTATATATGCAGAACTTGCGATATCTAGCGTGAGAATTAAAGATACATGAATTTAAACACATATATATCAGACTTGATATGTGTGTATATATGTAAGTTAACTTATTATATTTAATTTATTATAGGTGCCTTTGAAAGCAAGATACGGCGTAGATATAACACCTTTATCGTATCTGCCTGGTGGAAGAATAGAGAGATATCAAGGCAATCTAAATTTCTTTTTTATTCGTGAAAGTACTTCAATACGAGAAGTGAGTTGAGAATTAATAATCGTTATTTTTTATCGAATGTTCTCAAATAATAATGTGTATGTGTTTCTCAGAATGGTGGATTGAGTGGTTTTACTCATAGTTTTGTAATGGAAGTCTTAGCGATTGTTCGAGCACACATTACGGCGTTAGGGGGTAATGCAATGGTAGCGTTTTTTATGACGCAATGCGTACTCCTTCACAATCCTCACAAAAGTCAAGTTAGTAAAACTATAATTTTATTTTCACAACTTTTATATACGAGACATGTTTAAAAGCGTGTGCTGTTTGAAATAAATTTTTTACATACAGAAATAATATTTAGTAAAGTATTAATATACGCATATACAAAAAAAAAGAGAAGTTTAATAATTTCTTTTACCAATGACATATATTATATAATTTTGTCTTAACCGGCCTACATATATATTTGTTTGCTATTTTGACTCTCTTAGTATATATCACATTCTTTTATATCGCTTGATATAAAAATTCTGTTTTTAGGGTCAATGTTTGATTAATGTAGGTGGCGATGTGGTTACTGTATCTTATTATTCTGACGAAAAGCATAACGCTGTTTCTAATTGCTGACCCCAGCCTCCACATTCAGCCCCACCATAAAACAATACATTTGGCACATTATTGGTGATCACGTAAATTAAGTGAAAATGCCAACGTTGTTATGGATAGGACTGGATTTTTAGAATTATAGCAGACTCTTGAATTTATTACATATTGTGCAATAAGTAATCCCATAATATCTTTTTAATATTATGTAGCAATTTATTTATGAAGATACAGATATACTTCTTCCCCACTCCTTTTCTAGTAAACAAATACCATAACATAAAAACACAAAGGTATATTATTTATCTATTCTTACGTATTTGAAATGTTTTTAGTAATATCTATATTTTGTAAATGAAACATTTTTGTTCAAAATTATCTCTTGCAGGATCATGTCGCATGTCACATACACATGTGCATATTGTACATATATACACATGTATATCTCTTCTTTCTTCTCGTATCTTGTATTATTATTTAACTATTAGACCTAGCACGCGCACGCAACTATTTCGATATTCGTTCAACATTAATTATCTATTGTATATAAAACCTTAACAAACGAGTTTTATTATAATTGTATGTTTCTCAAACAAATACTGCGTATATTCCGTTGAATAAACTCTAGTCACAAACCTGTTATTTGTTATATTTTGTTATTAACTTTGTTTTTAAAAAATTAACTTAAATAGTTTGTAAAGGATTTATGAAGTTTCTCTTCGTTAAACTGTAAGATTGTTTATTCAGGAGCGTTGCTCTACGTGTGTATCTTAATTGCGTTTTTTATTATGAAAAAATATATGTTATTTGTTGTGTATAGAATATTGCATACATAAATGAGATACATAAAACCAGAGAAAAGTCTTCTCTCTGTTGTTAGTTTTTATTTTACACCTATTGCACCCAAATTTGGTGACTTGTACAATATTTTTGCTTTATTATGTAGATGATTTTTTTAATTGTATATATACAGTATTCAGATTATAAAATTTAATTGCATTTTGCTTTTGCGGTTACCATGTGTAATAATATCTGTCTCGCAATAATGTCTGCTCGTCTTGTTTGTCGCAACCATCTTGTACACGTACAAGAGAGACAAGATAAATTATGCGCGACAGGAATAAAATACGAGCCGTAACATGTACGGGAGTTAAATTAGAGTACATGCGATATAAGATACTTTCTCGTCGTACATACGCCACGATAAAGACTACTTAGGATGCAGGATAGTCGACGGGAAAAACAAATATTGTCGCACGGGTAATTGTTATAAGACGACGACATGGTGCGGAACATTAATCTTCGGAAACTCTAATGTTTTATTATTGTTGGCTCTTAAAATTTCGAGTTTTCTTGCGATACGTAATAGATTCTGTACACAAGTTATGTCTCAACAGTTCTGTCTGTTTTATTACGTAATAAAAGTTAGGTAAATATAGTTGTGAATGCTTTAATGTTTTATTTTTTATGTACATATATCTATTTATAAAAACACATTCTTGTAGCATAAGCTATTATAATTTTACTGCTAATAAATAAGTGAATATATATTATTAAATAATAAGTGAGTTTTTATTATATTTTCGTAAAACAGATTTTATTAATCGAAGAATCTCTAATTATATTGGTTTTAGATCTTAATTTTTTCAGTAATATTTGGTATTATACACATATTCGACATTCGAATATTCGAACTACATGTAATCTTCTTGTATCTGAGATTATCATATCAAACGATTCTCTTAGCATCAATCTCTAGCGTCAGTATAAATGTTCAAAGCAAAAAAAAGAGCATAATGAATAATAGATATTTCGTCCAGTAACGAATTTAGTTTTTATTTATTCTATTAATGTGTAAATGCAGTATAATGCGTGTGTGTGTGTCTAGTCTTAATGTTATCTTTGAGAAACATTAGAAGATATGTAAGATTAAGGGGCCAGATATATTTTTTCGAAGAGTATACGTACTTTTTTGGAATCAGAAAAGAGATTACAAATACTTTTAATCTTGTTTTTTTTTGTTTTTCCACTTTTTCCGTACTCTGAAAACCGTAGTCTGCATGTACTTTTTCTATTTTTGATGCAATTTGAACAATTATGGATATAACAGGATCGTGTAAAATAAAACTAACATATTCATTATCTTTTCTTCTATGTTTAAGATCATCTTGAGTTTATCTCAAAAGATTATCGTACGAGTCGTTTCATTGGCAACGAATTCTGAAGGTGAACTTAGAAACAATAATTTTTTAAAAACGATTTTAAAAATAAGATCGGACTATGAACACTAGCCAATAGACTTGAACTTTTTTGTTTTTTTTTTCAAAAAGCAGCATTGATTTGTAATAGATTTATAGACTCTCAAAGGCCGGGTTTATATCTAAGATTGTCGTAAGTTCTTTTTTAGATACTTTGTAATCAATAAGATGACCTAACAGTTTTTTTTTTAATTTTTTGGATGAATTTGCTAAGAACAGCAACATACTTATAGTTCTGTTATATTTTCTGAATTAAACAAAAAAGAAAAAAACGTTTTCATTTATAATATAAATGAAACAAACTATTTTCTGCGTTAATTATAAATTTTTGCACTTATCTCATAATAGGTATTGATACTTAATCTATTCGTTCGTCTTTAGTTTCTTTATCTTTGCTTTCATTTGTCTGCGAGTATCTCGATTTCCGCAAGCTTGGTCTTTCGATCGTCGCCGGAAATCGAGTCTCGTTGAAAATCAGTTTTGCTTGAAATAAAATTCTCTTTTCGCATTTTAAATGAACATTTGCCACGGTTCACGTGTAAATTATTTTGCCAAAAATATATTTAAAATTAAAAAGTACGAACAACTGCCGATAGTTCAGATAATAAGAGTGAGGCGACCTGCATTGTTTGGTTGTTGATCGCCGATCAAGGCTCGGGCGGTAGAGAAAAGTAGATGAGCTCCTATTAGGTATATGAAAAACGTAATTATGTGAATCTATTTGTCTTCCTTTTGGTTCATATAAATGAAGTTCTACAGTAAAATTAGTAAAATATTAATTGTGTCCTGCGTGTTTCAACTATTTAAATTATTCGTACCATTGAATGTTGTAACAAAACGTAGAAGTACTGATTTAATTATAAGACGGTTTACAAAGCTTATAGAACGTTCTTTCCTTTCGTTGCTTAAGTGCTATTATCTTGTAAAAGTAAAAGTGATTAATTAGACGTAGTCGCGCGAAAATTGATGCGTACAAAATTCTTGCGTTATTACATCTTTACATCCGTAACTTGGTGAATATTACTGTAACTGTAAAAAAAATTAATTATTACACAGAATTAAAAAAGGAGTTAAAAACGTGCGTCGCTTTTATATGATACAGATATAGATAAAACTGATATACTTTTTTGTTTATATTTTTCTAAATATCAGAACGAGGAAGAATAAAGATAAAAATAGTATTATATGCTTTAGAAATTTCCTATTATTTAAAAACAACAAAAAAGCGGACTATTGTACAATATGTAAATTTTTCTGATCGGTTTTAGTTTTATACAATCATTATTTCTACACAGAACTCTTCGATATGTTTTGATATTGAATACTGAAGTGTTAAAATATATATATATATTTAAACAATACTTACTAAAAAAAACAATAAATATTACTTAGATTATCATAAAATTATCCTAATTGAAAACTTTTAAAAAAATATATAAACACAATAACTATTATTGTGTTATTATCTAATAATATTTTTAAATTACTTTTACTTTTCTAAATTTTTTTTTACTTTTATTAAAGAGAAGACGTACAACTATAATTACATTAGAAGATATACATATATTTAAAATATAGAAATTGAAAAAAAGGTATACTCACTTTTGCAGTGATTTAACACTCGAGGAGATTGATTGACAATTTGATTCTTTAAAGATAAGGCTAATTATAGGTTTAAGTACAGCAAAAATAAAGAGAATCATATATAGGAAAAGGCAAGATTGTTTAACATTAAAACGATTATTTTTCTGCACACACGGCAATTATGTAATTTTTCTTTGTTGTTTTTTTACATTGTCTTAGAAATATATAGACGATCGAACGATCTTAAAGAGAACGTGATTTGACATTTATCGCTTGCGTTATATAAGAATAGGGAGCTATGTCGTCTTAACGTCGTTTTCCGAAGCGCAAGAAAACATGATCGACGTCTTGTCTCTTGACGCCGCTGTCAAAGCGAGGTAAATTCTCCCTAAAAGTGTTCTGAACGTATTCTGAAATCAATTTAATTCATACTTATATGATTATCCGTTATTGCAACAATTTCTTTAACAATAAAAATATTGATATGATTAAAAAAAAATCTCAAGAGAGATTACATCTCATCGTTACTTGTAATAAAAATATTATCTATAAATTGCGAATGTTCAGCAAACATAAAAAATAGCGTAAGGTAAATTATTAATAATATGTAAATGTGCAGTAAAGATTTAAATTAACTTAATTATTATATTATTACTTTTAAATTAAAACGTAAAAAATAATTAAAACTATGCAGAAACGCGTAAATGTGACAGTTTTGCATTTATCTTTTAAATAAATTGGTGATATAATTTGTTTTATATAATGTCTAAAATAAATAGCTCTTTTGATTAATAAGCGATTACCTCCATCTTCGACGAACTCGTTCATTTCTCTCTCTCTCCATATTCTAGCGAGAGCAACACAGACTTTACGTATTCTGGGTGGAAGTTCCTCGAGAAATCCTGAGTTGCATTGAGTAGGTAATGCGGCAAAAGTTTCGCCGGACAAAATTGCCACAGTCGTGACAGATACAAGAATCACTAGTGTCGAGCTCACCATGTCTGGCCTGTAAGGAAAGATATAATATACGTTTGTTTATAAATATACAGCTAATATATTTTTGTTTTTTTTAATCTTTTTGTGTAACTCCTACAGCGCGAAATATTGTCAGGAACATCGCAGTAATATTATTTTGAGACTAAAATATTTTTTTAAATTATTTCTATATACATTATATTTGTTAAGTTTTATAATGATTTACTATGCTTATTATAGAATGTTTCTCTCGAAATAAAATAAGTATGTTTCATCAAAACTTTTTTGAACAGCAAATACTTCGGAAGTCACAAAAAAACTTAAAACTTAAAATGAAACCTTTATTTCTGTTACATTCTGGAGATTTCACAATCTAAAACAATGTTAAATTTACTTACTTTTTAACACTTGAAACAGCTGTTTTACTTAATAAAACATACCAAGATCAAAATGTAAAAGTTTAGAACACAATTTTAATTGTTTGCACTTGTTTATCGTCAACGGAAGATTCACATATATGTGTAAATATTAGTGAAGTCGAGTAAGTAATGCTATTCAATGACAAAAACGTGCGTTTTTGCAAATGTTCAGTCAATATATATGTAGTAAAAGTGATATGTTTTTATTTTTAATTGTACTTGTAACAAAATATACATACACAGTAATAAAAAGGAAACACAAAAATAATAAATCACTGTTTCCGGGATAAAAACAATTTAGCAAATCAGAATTATATAGAAGAAAATGACGATCAAAAATAATTATAAAACTTTCGATTCTAACATGGTGTTCTTAAGAGAGATTAAAACATAATGAACATTGATACCGAGAGACGATAATAAGCTCTGATCGCCACTTTTATGTAGCACAGAATATATAATATGATATGAATGTGATGGAGTATGCAACAAGCGACAAAAGTTTTAAAAAGTTCAAAGAGAGTTTACAAGTAAGAAAATAAATTTTATTTATACATGAAATATAAATATTTATCTTATATATATAGTTAGTTTAGTTAACACGTATCTATGAAAACATTTTGAAACAAGACATTTTGAAATATATAAATATCTAAATGTATTAATGTATAAATATCTAAATACCTAAATGTATTAATAAATATTAGTATACACAAATATTAATATCAATATAAATATTATAAATGTAAGAATGTATGAAAAATATTGTGCAGAAAGAAATATAAAAAATAGTACGTAGCATTTTTTCTTGTTCCCGATAAATATGTTATTTTACATCTATCGTGAAGTTATATCGGCCGATGTGAAAATCCAAGTCAGATAATAAAAATGAAGGAATAGTAAAAAACTTGAAATATGTGATATAAATATACATATATATTACGTATGTTGCTTGAAATTCCTCGATTATTAATGCATGAGTGACGTTATGCATACGCATACACCACATACGTATACACCTTGAAAGCATCGACTGTATTTTGAGCCTTCCTAGCCTCTCCCTTCCTTTTGAATTTCAGAATAATACATATCACGCAAAACGACTCTGTGTGTGTGTATGTATGTGTGAAACTATCTTCAAAGTTACGATGAAATATTAATATTATGGAAATCGAAAGATAATGAGAGATTTTCTCATTGCTTCGGGCAGACACATATGCACGCAAAATAGTCAAACTTGTAAAATTATAATTGCTCAAAATATAAGATATATGTGTGTTTCGTAATATCGTTGATTTACAAGAAGAACTAATTAGTTATATATTACGTGCTTCAGATATTTACTTTTGTCTTACACTTAAGGAAATCAGAATTTTGACTTATGTGACAACTAACCCCGGGTACGAGGCACGTTGACAAATTTGCACGATCGTGTTTAACATTAAATAACTTTGTTTGTATAAAGATATGTAAAAATAATATATTTTTTTCTTAAAGCTAAAAGATGTGGCTATGATGTAATGTACCCAATATTACATAATATGGTGTACAGTTTGTTTGTTTTTTAACAATATAATTTGCATGTCATAATGTGCCGCGGTCTTCCTTATATTATGTAATCTGTGTATGCATAAAGTGCAAGGTCGAGTTTACTAAAGATCTGATATAAGTAAGTTAAGAAATGGTTATCCGAGAAAAAATAGAAACATATGATATAAAATTATATAAATAATTGTGTCAAATTTCGAATTTGATCTGGTCAGCTCACAATCAGATCCGATCAAAATTTGGTCAAATTGCTCTATATATGATTAAGATGTGATTTGATCTGATCTGAAACATATATATAATCTTATATAATCATGTTTTTATTTTTTCTCGAGTAAAATTTAGACATATATATGTATACATATATAATTAATAAAAATATTTTTATTTATTTGTTAAAAACCAACACCACATTGCAATTTTCTAATAATACACTGTTACACTGACTTTATGTAGAATATGCAAGAAAAAAATAAAATTTAAAGAATATAATTAACTTTTGTTTTAGTCCGTTTGAATATAAGTTAAGAATTGCTGGTTTTCAGAGCCAGGAGCGAGGATTCCCGTTTTATCTCCCACAAGATAGATTACGGATATAGCGATTGCTGTTTCTTTCTTCGATTGGTATTTCTAAAGGTGTCGAGCCGTAATAAGTTTTGATTGTGCAAGGATAAAGCATAATGGTCGAGTCTTCGAAACTTTATTTCAGATTGACTGCTAGAATACAAATGTTTGTCGTATCAGAATTTTTGATTCGCGACGTTTCGTATATTTTTGACTTAACACGGCTACGTAAAACAGGAATTTTTTTTATATATGTAATATATATAAAATTAAAAATATGATTCATATTTAAAAAATATAATTTATTTATATTTTCTTTTTAATATTTCTTAAATTTTTTATTTTCTATTATATTCATTTTATGCAAATATTACTATTTCATATGTATACATTTTTGTTGAACATGCATATATATACACATATTAAAAAATGTATATATATACATATATTAGAAAAAATAGATAAGAACGTCGAGCTTTTCGCTAACGATGTTATTTATGTTGGAATCAGTCGTCAAAATTGTTTGTCTGGTTCTTTCCGCTTCTGAAGTTACAATCTAAGATGGTTGACTATATTGTAAAATCTTTATAATGCTAAAAGAGTTACGTCTAATATAGTAGCTTCTGTTAGTATGGTGTTTATTGCAGATCTCAGATTGCAAACGACTTAAAATAAATCAGACGTTCTACCTATATTGTGATCGTTTAAGAATTTCTATTACGGCGGAAATCTGCTTCTAAAAGCTTCTCTGGTAAGTCCTTGTTTTTAATTTTGTAAACACAATTTATTAATGGACGTTGTAAAAAGTTTTTTAAGAAGCTTGTATGTGTGCTATGAAGCTTGTACTGACGTATCCGCGTTATCTTTTCAAGAATCAATATAATTTTATATGTGTTATTAAAATTTAACTCGATATTTAGAAGATCAAAGCAATTTTGTCTTTCTCTTTTTTTTTGACAAATATGTTGTAAAGTAAAATCACTATTTTCTTAACAAAACAAAATTTATTGAGAAAGTTTTTTGGAAATTTTAGAAGATACAACCAATAAAAATTGTAGCGCGAATGTCGAACGCGCATTGCGACACAAATATTTTACAGTGAGTCGAAATTAAATAATCAATAAAATATTGATAATCGATCTTTATTACTCAATCATAACACGAAAAGACGAAGTTGTCTCATTTGTCATGCTTTCCGTAATCAGAAAATATTATAGATAGGTAAACGAACGAATGAGTGCAGTTCAATGCAGCGCGATGCAATTTGTATCATTCATATGTGGACAAAATGTTCGTAAATGATACAAATGTTGATACAAAGTAGGTTATTATGCATTTATTCTGCGTAATGATCGCGATTAAACTTGCAATGCTTGAAAGCTGTTACATGATATTAGATTAAGCGCGATGATAACCTACGCAAATTAGTCAAATATATAGCGTAGCAGAAGATTAGTATTCTTGGCGCCTTGTATGTCCAACACTTAGCGTGGACAAATTGTTTTTAACTTCAGTAAACGACGAAAACTCAAAATATGATCTGTCATTTCTTGTTCATATTTCCTTTTTTAGTTTATTTTTTATTTTGTAAAATCTTTAATTTTTATACCACATAATTAATTCGTAATCTAAAATCCTATCGCATACTATATATTGGCGTATCACTTTGCCATATATAGTATCAGTTGAGCTATAAAAGAGTAATCCGTAAAACTCTAGAAAAATATAATTAAAGTTTGGGTATATATAATAAAGCTGTTCCCTTTGCTTCTCTCTCCAGAGAATGACGCAGCGTTCTTTGTAAAACTCATACGTAAAAAAATATAATAATTCTCAATATTTGCTTCAATGAGAATAAAATCTCCTTTTCTGACTCTAATACCAAGTCTGAAGATAAGAAAACAAGTCTTTATGAGATTTTGTTCGAATCTGTATGATATACAACTGAGGATATTATATTTGGTCAATGTGATTAAGAATTTTGACAAAAAAAGATAAACTGATAATATTGTTAGTAAAACGCCAAAAGCGCGGTTTCACGTATTCAAGAGGAATTCCATTTCTGCGGTATCTGCGCACTTATTTCTCTAGTTTGCTTATCGATGATGTCAAAATGCAAAACTAACAAAGGTTGAAATAAAATGACGCAAATACATTATATTAATAAAATTCTGTTTTATGTTAATAAAATTAGTTGTCAAAGTTAAAAAAATGGACTACTTGAATTACTATATATCTATAATTGCTATGTGTTACGTAGATCGCAGAAGAACAAAGAGTAAATCAATGCTCGTATCATGAGCGGCTCATAATCTAATTGCTAAATCCATTTATATTGTAAACCTGTAATTGATGTATGTAGTACATATAGATAATCGCATGTACATACTTGATGAAAAGAATTTAAAAAGTACAGCGTCTCATAGTCTAATAAAACTTTATAATGTATAACGTGAACATTCATATTACATGTCTGCTATATTATTATATATATAACATATATAGCGCATATATAGCACGTTTTAAGTGTAAATTACCATTTGTTGCAATTTTAAGATGATCCAAGTTTATATTAAAATATTAATTATTGTATATCATTCTACGTTTTACATTTGTCACATTGATGGCACCGACAGATAACGCACGTAAAGCAATTTTTGAAAGAGCCAAAAGGGATATCAATTTTACAGGTCGATTAAGTTCGACGTCTTAAGTGCCAGGATCTTATATGTGCAGGATTTTATATTCCTATGAGCTATATAATCATATATTGCCATCAATTTATTTCGTAACATCTCATTTGAATACGAATTCAAGATGTCAAACTATGAAATTTATTCGATGAAAAATTAGATATAAAATTACACTTCAAGTTGTATTCGTATCGTCTCAAAGTCATTAGTATGCATAGAAATTAGTATATGTGGAAATGCTTTACAAAATTACAGAATTTTTTCTTATGAAAACTGAAGCTCATCTTTTCTTTGCGAGAATACTAAGATAGATATTGTGATTCAAACTTTCAAGTTTTGAGCATTCTATACACTTTGTCAATTACATTTCAAAGTAAACTTTCAATAAAACACTCAATAATATTTTACATTATATGTTCCAAAATATTTCTTGTTTTGCATTGAAAAATTGTAACGTTTACTCTTGGAAATATTTTCGGTAATAAAGATCGCTTTGAAATTCTATGAGAATGACTATTACGTTCTCATATTACGTCAAATTTGAGACATTTTATGCATAAAGTGCACAACATGAAATACGAGACGGATCACCTAATAATGGCATACATGGGAAATCTGATTTGTGTGCAAATCATATTGTATACTGTGAGTAATGTCTGGAGCAAATATATATATATATATATACACACATCACATATATACATGTACATACATATATATATATATATTTATTTATTTATTTATTTATTTATTATATATATATATATATATTTATACGATTTGTACATAAAACAGATTGAATAGAATGACTTCCGTCTCATATTCTCCTACTTTCCTTATTGCTAATTACCACCCAAATTTCAAAATATAACGTTGACAAGACAAAAAACTAAATGTGACATTATGCTAAATACTTTTTTATGTGTGTGTGTGTTATTACTTGAAAAATAACCTACACAAAAATACTGAGTATCACAGATCGATACAGACCGTACGTACTTTGTGGCTTTTAGTTTACCACGTAATCGGCAATCAAAATGTAAATGAATGTTTGTAAGCTGCTTGAATGTAATTGTTGAAAAAAACCCAAATGAAGCATAGCCATTGAATTGTTTTAAAGCCGCTTTATTGCTACAGTTTCTTGGAACTTTATATTCTTCACGTAGGCGTGTATGGAAGCCACATCGAGAGGAAACTATTCTATATCATAGTGTGTCTCTGGTATAAATTATATTACAAGATACATATTATTAAAATCTTTGTTTTACAAAAGATTAAAACAGACATAGTAGTGATAAAAAATGTATAAATGTTCTCTATAGATTTTAGATTCATTTTTGAGATTTTATATCTCAGATTATAGTAATTATTAAATAGTAATGAAGAATAGTATTATTAAATTAATAGTAATATTTTAGTGACTTTTGCTACTTTAAATATTAAAAGCTTTCTAAATATAAAGAGAAAACGATTTTTCATGTATTTTAAAAGTAAACTTCGAAAGTATATGTTAATATAATTGTGAATGATATTTTATAAGACAATGATAATATTCTATATCTAAATTTTGAAATATACGAATATGAAAACTTGTTATAAAAAATTGACACGTGTGATAAAAAGTAAATATTCCACAACATTTTGTATTTTATATTTTTCTTTTTCTCAAAAAAAATCTTTTTTAGCGATAAAAAAAATTATATATAGTATAAATGCGATAAAAGTACCAACCTGACGAGAACAAAAGCAACAGAAGAAGTCGTCGCGACTAAGTCGAGAAGATTATCAGCGGAAGATCGCGAAACGAAGAGATTGACAGCTTCGTGCGCGCACTTTTAACACCTTACCGCACGATAAGCGCACGATAAGAAGAAATCCGTGTAAGTAATTAGAAGAGCTACGCGACCGTTTTGGCTGACTTGATAAATGATAACTTTAAAGATGAAACGATAGAAGTAAAATTGCTCCAGAAGAAAGCAAGAGATTGGTCGGCGAGATATACGGTGAGATAACCGTGTGACAGTGGCGAGAACAGCCTGAGATCAGCCCTTAAATACGCGCTATGTGCCATGCGCATTTCACGAAAGCGCTAGAGGAATCACACGTTGACGCGAGTAACTCACCCTCTTGCACCTTCCTTGTCACGACGAGATGCGACGCACATTCTTATTCTCTTATGACGTATAGAATAAAAATTTCACCATAATGCGACAAGACATACTTATGTAATTATATGTACGTCCGACATCAAAAAGAACGCCAGAGCGTGGTCGAACTTGTTACTATCACAAGAAGCGACGCACGTTTATATAAATTCACATATATATAACGCCGTCGTATAAAAGCCTGAGAAGACAATTCTTTTTTATTGTAAAATACGAACAATATATACTAATTACATCTAAAAATAATTAAAAAATGACATAAAATAATAAAACAAAATATTAAGAAAAATAGCGACACAATTTAACATTCGAGTCGCATAAACATTTAATAACTATTATAATATAAGAAAAGAAATTTCACAAAAATGTAAACGGAATTATCTCGGCAGAACATCCGAGAAAAAATGGATTAGATCTGAGTTAAATCTAACAAGATAAAAAAAAAGAAAAAATAGATCTAATTAGATCTAAATTAAATCTAAATAGATATAAAGTAGATCTAAATAAATATAAAGTAAATCTAAATAGATATAAGTAAATCTATGTAAATTTACACTCTTTTATTTATTATTAGATCTAGTTTTGATCTACTCAGATCTATTATATTAAATCATCTGTTTAGATCTGCTTAAATCTAAGTAAATCTGAGTAGTTGTAATATAGTAGATCTCTGAGTAGATCTAAAGTACATTTAATAATATATAAAAGTGTAAATTTACATAAATCTACTTATATTTATTTAGATCTACTTTATATCTATTTAGATTTAATTTGAATAATCTAATTAGATATATTTTTCCATTTTTTTATTTTGTTAAATTTAAGTTAGATCTAATCCATTTTTTTCCGGGCATACTTATAAAGGAGCATACAATTTCGGTTCTTTATGTACTACTCATCGCGTTAGTTATTTAGCATGGAATTTACTTCATAAATAATCGGATGAGGCAATACGAGCAATTATACAAGATTTTGGTATATTTTATTCTTTATTCTTCTATTGTATTTGGTTCAGACGTTTTGATCTATATTTTAAGATCTTCCTTAGTGATTGTCTGTGTAAAAATTTATTACTGTGTAAAAGAATTTAAAATAAGAAAAATTTAGGAATTCTTACCTATATTAAATGCAGGTATAGGCACCATATCACCCTTGAATGTTCATATTAAGTTGTGAGGACGTTTCAATGAATAGACACGATAACTACTGTCACATATAACAACTTTGGTGATATGACGCCTGGTGATTGACCTTTACAAATATCTATCTGTATATATACTGGTTGCCCCACGCTTATCCTAGAACTTCTCGCTAAACATATCGAAAGTCTACGGAACTTAAAAATCAAATTATAACTTATTCGTTTCTGTAAGCTTCTAAAAATGAGAAATATGGTTTCAATTTATCTGTATCAGACACACACAAACACACACATTATGTTAATAGAATTCCTTTGCAACTGAATGTGTATTATTTCAGATATATTTCTTTTGTGGAAAAAATTTTCATTATTACAAATTTTTGTGTTTTTCCAATTAATCATATTCTATATTTCTAACTATAGAATAGAAATATATAGAATATGTTGAACAACATTTAGAAAAATGTAATTATTTAGTTTTAAATAAAAATATTAAATATTAATAAAAAGTTATTGTACAAAATGTGAAGACTATATTACTATTTTGTTTTTTACTATATCGCATTTATTTGTACTATACTGAAATAACAATATTAAAAACTGTAGATTAATTACAATTTTATTGAAGTTAGTTAATCTTGATATAATAGATATAAATAAAATAGATAGATAGATATAGATATATATATAAATAGATAGGTAGAAAAAGGGAAAGAGAGAGAAAAAGAAAAAAAGAGAAACAGAGAGAGATTATTTGTAGGATTCTGTATTAGTAACATGCACATTAATTACTTATACGTGTATCTTTTTAAAATAATAATGCAATAAATAGTAAGCATAAGCACCTATTAATAATATCAACAGAAATTTCATTGACACGATTCTGTCTCTGATTTACATTTCAGTAGAGGCGTCAGGTGCAATACAGAGCGAAGCGATTAGCGATTTTTCACGAAGCAATAGATTCTCCCACGTAAACTCGAAATTTTCTCCTTCGCTTTACGTTCGCAGTATATCATTTAAACTACCGATAATAGAGCTAAGAGATACAATTTGACTCAGGATGCAACATCTAGTTTGTTGTATTAACGATTGTGAAGCTGTTACAAAATTCTCAATACATAGAGAGAGTTATATATTACAAGAGTTATATATTACATTTCGAAACGGTATTTTTATTAGAATTTTGTCATATATTCTTAATTATTTTATAAAATAAAGAAATTTTTATATAAGTTATTTACTTAACTCAGTCACTTTTTTTAAATTACCTATTAAACAAAAATTTAATTATATGTTTGTACAAATTTTGATTATATATACATATATATATNACTTAACTCAGTCACTTTTTTTAAATTACCTATTAAACAAAAATTTAATTATATGTTTGTACAAATTTTGATTATATATACATATATATATATATATATATATATATATATTATTTTAATTATATGTATATACATTTAAAACTATAGATATTTCTGAAATTACTTTTTTGAATTTACGACTTTTGTTAGAACGCAATATTTTGCTTAACAATATTCTTGACAGCAAGCAACTAGCTTCCACTATAACAGCTGTTTTAGATGTATGTACATTTTACATTCGTCTTTTGTCGATCACGTAGAGAAAACCGCGTCACAATTTGATTTTATGAAAGAACGAGTTCTACATCTCTTCATGTAGGATGATTGACTTTTCTACTACGAGCACTCGTTCTGGATATCTAATTTACATTTTTGTCTCACTTCCGCACATACGTAACACACATGTTTACGTCATATTTGTCCGTCACTCTTATTTGCATTAAACTTTTAAATTTTTTATGCTTGCTTCGTAAAAATAATAATAATTGCGTTAAAAAACAATTATATATATATATATAAATGTGTGTGTGTGTAGAAAAAAAGAACATTATATATACATATATGTTCTTTTCTTCTATAATATTTTCATTAAGTTATTACATTTACACACATAATATGCAAATCTCACCGATAACAAAATTTTATTTCATTAATTTTGTAGCATATGTAATTGTTTTTGACAGAGAAAAGCGCAACTGTTGGAGTCTTTAGCACTGTATGTTGTATTGCACTTAAGCGCGCGAACTTTAGGCGATGTAATTTATTAACTCTCTCTCTCTCTCTCTTTAAATGCTTATATGTCAAAATTATTGCCTCGACATTTTGATATTAGAATTTTCTTTTCAGACTGATCTCAGGAATCCGCTATTAAAAAACTATAACGGTGTTGTTTTACATGTCGTATTATTTGCAAGTAATACATCCGAGACATATATATGTGTTTATATGTGCCGTGTTACATTTACTGTAAAAAATATCAATGTACATTTTGTTTCTTTCATGACAAATTATTATGATGTTTTGACAGATCTCGGTATATTTGTTTTTTTTTTTTTTTTGACTATATACAGGGTGTCCCAGAATGGCCGTACAATCTCTCGTAGGCAGGTAGAAAGAGTAAAACTGAGTCGAAAAGTCCTATACCATTTTTTTCTATTATTTATAATAAAGGAGTAATTATTGAGTAAATCAGGCCAATCAGCGCAGATCTTTAGCCAGGCGCACGTCAGTGAACGCTCACACACACCAGGCGCGCGGCTCACTGACGTGCGCCTGGCTAAAGGTCTGCGCTGATTGACCTGATTTACTCAATAATTACTCCTTTATTATAAATAATAGAAAAAAATGGTTCAGGACTTTTCGACTCAGTTTTACTCCTTCTACCTGCCTACGAGAGATTGTACGGCAATTCTGGGACACCCTGTATAATGTACCTACTCAAAACTAATATGTAAAAAATAAAACATACATTGTGAAAAATAAAATCAAATATTATAGCATTCTCTCTCGTAGCAAAATGCTATATTGCTTCTCTGATGTTATGATTTCATATAACTGTGCTAAAATATTTAAAAAACTCCGAACCCTGAAACTCATTTGAAAATAATAATTCTTTACATTTACAAGAACACATATTTTAACGTTTTTATCTTGATTTTTTAAATCTTTTACTTTTATTAAATAATAATAATAAAATAAAACTTTCAGAATAGCTTTTTTTCTCTATACTTTATTCTATCACTCGTTTTAACAACGTTTTAACACAGCAAAACCTACGTTTCTGTTATAATAATGAATTGAAAAACAGATTATACTATGACCTTTGCAATTATCATTGACTCAGGAAGGACATAAGTCACGTGACGAATGATTTTACATGTTACTTAGTCTCGACTTCTAAAGCCAATATTTAGTTGTTGATCAGATACACATATCTTCACATACTTCTTCTTTCTACAAGTGCATCTATAAAGTACGTATTATTTGCATACAAGTGTTATTAGTGACATAAATTGCAATACTAAACAAAACTTTTAAAGCAAAAACAGATTTGTGTGTGAAAAGAAAACATTGTGCCATTTAATAAAATACAATAATTAAGTTATATATATATCGCGCGACATATTATTACCTACTATATTTTAGGTAATTGTACAAAAATAGTTTTTGTAATGAAATATTAATTCATATATTTCTTTAAATATTATTTCTCTAATATTTTTTATATGTTTTAGCAATAACGCATAAACAAAAAACTATCGTAATTTTCACAAAAGTTCAATAAATAATATATGCTACATAGTGTTCTACAATAAAAGCAACTTATGTGATTTTTTTAGAATTTTACTTAGAAAGTATAAAAAATATACTTTTTTGTTTTATATAATGTAAAATACATTTAAAATTTATTTTACATGATGTAAATACGTTTTTTAATTATTATAAAATAAGTAGTATATGTACAAAATGTACTTATACACATAAAAAGATTTAATGAATAACATACTTCATCGTTCGTATTATGATGTGTGTGTGTGAATTGTTTTATTACCTTAGTGATTGCTATCACGTATCAGATCGAACTATTGCAAATTTTTCTCTATAATTTGGTTAGAATAAGAATTATCTTTGATGTAAGTAAACTTTTTGAACAAATATTTATAGACTTTACTTTCTAGATAGTTGTTATATGTAAAAAAAACTCACTTTTAATTTTATAAAAATATTAATATCACAATTATAGTTTTATTTTTTATAATACTATTGTTTTTATAATACTATTGTATTATAAAAAATAAGTAAAAGAGAAAATAGTATCTTCTGTAGAATAGTCTTTCTCCATATCTCTGTTATTAGATGGTGAATTTTGGTAATTTGTTGTGGAATAAATAATTTAAGTGTCCAAAGTTACTCAGTGTTTCTAAGTGACAATAGATACTAGACAATATATCACGCATTTTTATTTTAGAAAATTTTGCAAACATTTTTTTCAAGGTAAACTTTAGCATTTACATATATGTGCTTTTTTCTTATTGTTCTTAAATCCAAACTTATTATCACATAAAAACTAAATAGTTACTTTATTTAAAGCGTAGTTTTTAATTTTAAATATTGAATAATAACAAACTTTTTATTGTACAAAATAAAAGATTATATATTATTATCTTCTTCTTTAGTGTTATGAAAAAATCAGAAGAATAAAAATAATTAATAAAAATTTCAACATTGGTACTGTGTGTGCAGAACTTAACAACTTTATTTATTTATAAATTTGTGTATTTTACTCCGACTTTGGATCTTCTTTAGTGTGATAATTCTTTTAGTGAAGAGAGTCCAAAGTCGGATCGCGTGTGCGTAGCGGAAACAAATAGAGTTTAGAAATTAAAGAGAATTAAGAAATATATTTAATTGTATGATGTCAAATGATTTGCTCAAAATACGGAAGCAGTCAAAAGTTTTTTACAAAAATTGTAGAGACGCGCGCGCAGTAAATTATTGAGATTATATTAAACATTCGAAAATGTACGCAGCCACTTACAAATCGTGGATGGACTCTCTGCTGACAAAAAGACGATACTGGTACAAGCTATAATACTTTCTTTTATCATCGCTGGGGAATATTATACTTAAAAAATGCTGCACCAAATGAGATCCGATTTCTTGGACGCTGAAGCTGAAGATTCAGAGAAATCATGCCTGGAGTCATGCATTGCACGTTCAAGAATTTCGCTAAAGGGAGATGGTCATGGTATGCCTTTTGTTTTAAATAATAGAGCAATTCCTGTTTATTTTTTAAATATTTCTATTGCCTATTTATGTTTACTTTTTGCATTTAAAAGAGAAGTATATTATCTAGACTTCGAAAATTTTGACATAATTTATTATAATTGTGATAATAAGAGATATTTTGTTTTATTGATTTTCAAATATGGCTTTTATTTTTTATTGTTTATTTTATGTTTGTAATTAAATAACATTAAACATATGGCTTATTGTGTATCGTTAACAGAAAAAAATGTTGATAATAACGTATATTCATTTAAAGACATCAACATAACAATTTTATTCAGAAAGAAAAATAAAATCTGTTAATGCAATGTTAGCACTCCAATCAAGTTATCAGATTGCATCGGTTGTTTTCTTCTATTGCTTCATCATATCATTCTCTCTTTTTTCGTCTTATTTCTATTTTGTTTATTCCGCTGTAAACACATAGACCAAACACACATTAAGAATAATGAATTTAGCAACGAAATAAGATTGTTCAGATATTTCTCACTTTACGAAATACTTAAATACCATATAATATATATTTATTATTTAGATAATCTAGCCTCAGAAAAAAGCACGTTTTTACAAAGTGTGCAATAACATTACAACTGAGTCTCGCGTGATACAATTCTTGTTTAAATAATTCAAAATGTGAAGTTTTTTATGGAGTAGATGAGTGAATATGTAATATATATGGGAATAAATATGGAAAATTGTTAACTGTTGTGCCATCCGTTAACTCTATTGTCAACTGTTGCTATCCGTAATTATCACGTTCTTCTGTTAAGTTTCTTTAATAAAGTTGTTTCCGGAAGTAAGTCTCCATTTATCTGAAATAAGGTGCTACACAACCTGATATATTCTGAGAACTCCTCGGTCGTAAACCCCGAAGGACCTTTACAGAAAGAAAGCAGAAGGAGAACTGAAATATTCATCACTAAGAACATTCAAGTCGTAGTAATTTCTTGTCTTCAACTTTGCTCATATTAAAAAAAAAAAACTTGTCTTTGATTTATAATTCATATTAAAGCAATTTTTAGTAGTCTGTACACTACACACACACTATGTGTATACAAGCCAAATTTATGGAAACTAAAATTGCAATGTAACTAAATACAAAACAGAAAATTTGCAGCAACTCAGATATTGTTGACGTTCTCTCATCCTCAATAAGATATTTACGAGTTCTTTTATGCAAGTAACAAAGTTTTTTTCATGCTCTCTCGAGACTAACATCTTTTTCAATGTATTTATAATATCTTCAGCAAAGATTTTATAAAAAACTTTTTATACCGACATACTTTGATACCGATGTGATAAATGTAGTATTTTTTAACAGATACGCAAATTTCTATTGTTTTCTACATATAATATACCACCGAAAGATTACCCAGTATTTTGATTGATGTAACGCACGCGAAAACGGTATGTAAACTGTGATATGTGAAAAGAAAGTAAAAAATAGAAACTTGCATATTTGTTAAAAAATACTAGGTCGTATTTCTGCGGTTACAATTCCTTATTGCATTACGTTCGTAACGGTTAAATATCACAAGGTCTCATGGGGTGCAAAGAAGCGAAGCGCCGCGTGGCGTTTGACGATACGTGGTTACAGGATCTGGGAATCGGGGCGAGACGGGACGACACAAGACGGGAGGAGTCCACAGTGGTTTCCTTGTGCGCGTGATTTTCTTGGGTCTACCGCAATGTCACACACCGACGCGGTATTAAGGACGCGTTGAGCGACTATCCGTAATTCACGATACATGGAAAAACAAACACATGAGCGACGTTAAAGGAAAAAGCGATCTAGATAGAAAATTGCTCTGAACTCGTAACATTCGCGGTGCGACACGTCCAATGAATTATTCATTATCGAGACAAACTGTCGGCAAGTCTACAAATGTATATAATCGAAACAATGTTTTGAAATATGCTATCATTGAAGTATGCAACCGTTGAATAAATAAATCATGTCGTTTTGAGAAATCTTCTAAAAAAAATTACACTAAAATTAGACAAGCAATCTGAACTAATCTCAGTTCAGAAACACTTCTGACAAGTCTGTTGTAAAATTCACGCGTATAGCAAAAGCCTGACAAGCATCCACTGTGTCTTTTGACATAATTTCTTTATCCATAACAGAGTTAAACTTCTGAGATTGCACGTTTCGTCAAACTTCAAAATAGTCTTTAGCACAAGATGCCCTTTGTATGACGCCCTTTATTATCTACTTGCAGATGACATTATGAACCCACAACGAAATGAGTGCTGTTACGACGAAGCATATAAGAAATCATTGGAGCGTCCAGAAGAATTTTGGAGCGAGATCGGCGGTTATCTTGACTGGCACAAGCCTTGGGACAAAGTTTTAGATAATTCCAACGAACCGTTTACGAAATGGTATTTCGAAGAAAATTATTATGTAGTTTTCCATCCAAAAGTACGCGATTTTTTTACTCAACAGAAAAAAAGTCCACAAACTTTTTCTACTCTTTCATGTGTTTGACGTAACAGTTATAAAAACCTTTTTTGCTTTGTTTTTATATAAAGCTTAGTTTTTGAACATATATGATACATTTGATATTCCATAATTTTTTTATCAAGACAGAAATAATTTAGACTTCCGAAACAATATTTCTGGTTACAGGTTTGTAGGTGGAGAATTAAACGCTTGTTACAACGCGGTGGATCGTCACGTGTACGCCGGATATGGAGAGAAAACAGCTCTTATCCACGATAGTCCTCAAACATCGTTAATACGGAAAGTAACGTATAACGAACTTTTGAAGAAAACATCCATATTAGCAGGAGCGTTGGCGGATCTAGGTGTGACTAAAGGTAATAGGGTGATCATCTACATGCCGCTGATTCCCGAAACTATAATCGCGATGCTAGCAACTACCAGATTGGGAGCAATTCACTCCGTAGTTTTTGGAGGTATAATAACAAGATTATCTTAATATCATATTTACAATAGTTAATTTAACTTTTATAACAGACATCATAGAATTTCTTTTATATACATATACTTGTTGCATACAATATTGCAATAATGTTACAGGATAAGATCGTTAAATGTGAATTAAGCACTAGTTGCATATCATATCTAGATAGTATGTTTAGATAGTTACTACATTTTATAGTATATATCTTTAGATTTGTTTATGTTTTCTTAAGCTTTTTTAATCGCCAATTGTTTTTTCTTGCTAAGAACAAGATTGCATATTTAATTGAAGTTAAGCTAAAAAATCTGAATTATCTAAAGATGTCTGATGATAAACATATAAAACAGGCTAGCTACATATTATATTGACTATTTACATTTTAGGCTTTGCAGCGAACGAGTTGGCGTCTAGAATAAATCATGCTGAGCCAAAGGTTATTATTGCCGCAAGTTGCGGATTGGAACCGTCCAAAATAATTAAGTACGTTTCGTCATTCTTTGTTAAATTTATGTAAATTATAGTTTTTAAAAATACCGCATTATAGGATGTCCCACAACCATTGCTCAATAGTTTCAGAGTAGATGAAATATAAAATTTGTTTTCTTTTTTTCATGTATTTTGGACGTAAAAAAGAAATAAATAGTTTAAACTGCTTTTTTAAGTATTTTTAAACATGTTTATAAATTCTTTTATAGAAACGTTTTCATATTTATTTTGTTTTTATTTCATCTTTTTTTACATCTAAAATTGCTTATTTTGACAAACACAGGTATACTAATATCATAAATGATGCCATGAATATAATCACCGTGCCGAAACCAAAGTGCATAATATTCCAGCGAAAAAACGTGTGGGAAGCTCCATTAGTTGAGTCGCAATATGACTGGGATGAACTCATTAAGATATCAAAACCTCATTCATGCGTCATGGTTGAAGCTAATGACCCTTTGTATATCTTATACACATCGGGTACTACAGGTAAATGTCATGTAAAATACAAATATATTTAATAGGCTTTAAAAACCTTAGTTCAATAGATCTTAGCACACAAAAGAACTAAAGAAATTAGTTTTCTTTAAAATTTCTTGTAAACCGACAATATTTACGACATGAGTCATATTAGAATTATGTTTCCTTTCAAACCAATAAGCATCTTTTATCTGAATCATTTTTTCTACAATTAAAAATGAAAAAATTTTTACGAGAGTAAATTAAAATGAGACACTGTGTGTGTGTGTGTGTGTGTGTAAAAATAAAATAACTTCTATTCTAATTGCTTAAGTTAAAATATTATATACTGTATGTTCTCTCACAATAATTAGTAGATATGTATAATATCAAAAAAATGACAATTACATTTATATTTAACATAGGGCAACCAAAGGGAATTGTAAGGCCGACCGGTGGCCACTTGGCGACGCTTTGTTGGACAATAAACACAGTTTATAATATTGATAAGAATTCCGTCTGGTGGGCGGCGTCTGATATGGGCTGGGTCGTCGGACATTCATACATATGCTACGGTCCTCTTGTAAATGGTTCGACGAGTATTATGTACGAAGGGAAACCTGACAGAACTCCAGATGCCGGTCAATATTTCAGGTTAATTCTACAATTTTGATTCTGCATCGAATTTTTTTTGTACACGTTCCATCAACTGATTTCAAAATGTTCTTTCTTTATTCTGTAGAATTATTGAACAACATAGCGTAAACGCGTTATTTTGCGTGCCTACAGCTCTACGTGTTATAAAGCGTACGGATCCGGAGACGCTATTAGGAAGAAAGTATTCATTAAAATCGTAAGTTTCTATTTGTATTAATCTGTTAATATATAAGTAACTTCATAGTTACTAACATTACATCATAACATAACTAATTACATATACTATGACTGAAGAAATATTTCACTCTTTTTAAGATTTTGTAAAATTAATATACAATTTAGTAAAAAATACATCGCTTGTTTTCTCTTTCTTTTTTTTCTTGTGCTAATGACAATTAGAAGAGAAGCTAGGCAATTCTCTTTGTCTTCAAACTCCCGTACTAATTCCGCGAATTTCTATTGCTTATTATAAGGATGCATTTATTTTGGGTTTAAGCGTCTCTGTTGTCTTTTTATTTAAATATAAAACTCTTTAAATAGAGAACAAAGACTTAATGATCAAAGTACGTAAGCGCTCGCAAACGCAACTTATATGTCTCAAGTAGAGTATTCTATATGTATATATGATCTCTTTCATAGACATATGTAGAACATTCTAGTTCTCAGATAATGATATATATTGAGTGTAAGCAAATTTGTTTTGTAATCTGTGTGTGTAACATAACCGAACGTATATGTAATTAATTTTTATAATATTGTTATACATACATTTATAAACTGTTATATTTGCTGTGCGTTTATAAAATTGTCTATAATCACACAATTTATTTATGCTTTTAGCTTAAAAACAATATTTGTAGCTGGAGAGTTTTGCGATTATGAGACAAAAGTCTGGGCCGAGAAAGCGTTCCAAGTTCCAATTTTAAATCACTGGTGGCAATCGGAAATTGGCCATCCTGTTACATCATTGTGTTTAGGATATGGTCATTATCCTAGTTTGCCTAAATTCAGTACAGGTCCTCCTATACCGGGATATAAGAGTGAGTTTTTAATTATTTTGTTTAGCATTTTCATTTGTTTTTAAACTTCTTTTATAAAGTGACATATTTTATTAATTAATATGAATGACCGGTAACAGTCATATCATCACTTGTGGGCAAATAGGAAAAATTATCTTGAGTTAAAAAATTCTTTACAACTGCGATATTTGCAATAATTAACGAGTTATTATTTAATCAAGATTAGTCTAGCGTTTCGCGCGCTTCCGGTTGTTACGCGCGCGGCAATTCAATGAGAGAAGTTAATACAACAGAATATACGTAATGTGTATAAAATTGAATAGCTAACGATGACTAAACGCAAAAGTATGTCCTTATAATGTTTTTTAATCAAAATACATAATTCTAAAGACATAATTTTAAAGATGTCGATAAGGTTTTGAAATTTATTTATTATAGGGAGCGCGCAAAACGCTGAGCTGTTTTTTGTACGTTAATATACAATTATTTGTGGATCTTTATTAAATAATAACTCATTAATTATTACGAATATCGCTAAATGGTAAAAGACTTTTTGACTCAGTATAACTTTTCCTACCACGAGCGATAATACGACTATTATCGGACATCTAAGTCAATCAGATGTATATATGTAATACACATGTACATAAAATAAGTCTCGTGAAAAAATTCTTTAATTTTTATCTTATATAAAAAAAATAATTGATAAATCTGCCATCGATAGTTCATGTCCTGCGCGAAGATGGAAGTAAAGCATCGATAAAAGAACTCGGACGAATTGCGATAAAATTACCGTTGCCGCCTGGTTTTATGTTAACTCTTTATCGAGCACCTGAGAAGTTTAAGGAAGTATACTTCTCAAAGTTTCCGGTGAGCAGATTAATGTGCGAGTATGACACATATTACATATATGTACATCTAAGTGCGGGCGTATACATACAAATCATTGTATAATGGCGTTACTGATAGAGCATGCATCCTATACTCGCAACTTTAGCTATTTTAAATTTAATCGTAATAGATTGTCTTGCTACATAAAATAATGTATTTTTCTTTATCAGATATTTTTACTTAAAAAATATAAAGAAATATTAAATATGTTGGAATTAACATTCAAAGATGTTTTTCGGATTTGAACCGCGTTAGTGTCATTTTTATACCGACGTTTCGAACATTTCAGGGTTTCAAGAGCAGCCTGATACTGAGTATAACTAGTCTTGAAACCTTGATGAAGTGAGCTGAAATGTTCACAACACGTCGGTATAAAAATGACACTAACGCGATTTAAATCTGAAAAACATCTTTGATTGTTAATACAAAACACCGCGAAAGCATCAAATATGTCACAATTATCGAAATGAAAATTGTTGAACTCTTTGTGAATTACCCGAATCGAAATCTAAATTATATTTTTTTATTTCGAAATTTTTGAACGCAGGGTTACTATGACACCATGGACGCGGGCTATATCGACGAGTCTGGTTATATTTATGTGACAGCGAGAGATGATGATATTATAAATGTTGCCGGACATAGAATATGCACAGCTGCGTTAGAAGATGTTATCTTAAGTCACCCCGATGTAGTCGAGGCTGCGGTTGTTGGTGTACCAGATCATACAAAGGGAGAAGTACCCTTATGTCTTTATGTTAGGCGAGAAGGTTTGTAATATTATGTGCGAGAGAAGAAATTCTATATTTACATATATACCTGTATACATGTGTGGGTGTAAGCTGCTTGTAGATTTCTTTAATTTACTTTCTGTTTTTTTTTTTTTTTATCTTTATAATAATTATTTTATCGTTTTCTTTATTGTCTTAAATTACTTTTTGATTTTAGTACATATTATAATCATATATAGAATTTGTCCATATATAAAGGACTTTTTTCCTAGAATTAGATTACCAAATATAAAAAAAAAGATGTACAAGGTTATCGGTTTTTTTAGATGCAATAAATAATGAAGAAGAAATAAATCAAGAATTGGTTTCACGAGTACGAAACTTAATTGGACCGATTGCGTCTTTCCGATGTGCTGCCGCAACTACAGCTTTACCTAAAACGCGATCAGGAAAGATAATTCGCAAATCAATAGCCACACTAGCACGATCCAAACAAGTCAAGGTAAAAACGGACATAATAAAATTCCCATTTTTCAATTCCCATTTCAAACTGCCCACTGTCAGTCAATAAAAGACGCGTGTTAAAAAACGCGTAATAATTACTTATATAAAAAACAAAAATGAAATAACTCCAAGAATCTTACTTCTTACTCTATGGCCTAGTTTACACGGTACATCTTTTTGGTACACGAATCAAATAAAATTTTTTTTTCAATGTATAATTTTGATGTTTACATCATTATAAATGTGCTTGATACGCGTACCATTTTGATACGCGTGAAGAAGATATCGTATCAGCTTAATATGACATCGTTTACATTATTGAGACCAAGCCGATTTTAATACGAATATAGTACTTAATACGCGTATTAAGTACTATTTTCGATGCCATTCTTTGTTGTTGATAGAATTATATAGTTATTGCACAAGTATCAACAATAAAATTTTCCCGGTTTTGCTGCTTTTTGTTCGTTTGAACTTCGCAGAGAATGGCATCGAGTGAGTGTTAGGTAAGAGCAGCAAATATACCATAAACTTATATAATAGACGGAACATTTATATGACGAAGTTGAGAACAACATTAAAGGACAGAGATAGTGCTGGAGTAGTTGTCTCTCTCTCTTACAATAAGATGGTGGGGGACCAATCATCTCACAAGTCTATGTTATCACCTTTCACTATCGCTTTCTCTCAACTGACTCTCGAACTCTATCTTCGTTGCTCTCGGTCTGCCGCGGCCACCAATCAACTCACTACTAGAAAAGAAGAGAATTACTCCACGACTATTTCTGTCTCTTTTAACGAAGCTTCAGCTCCTTTTACACGAATGTTCCGTCTATTATATAAGTCTATGAAATATACCTAGCGGAAGCAGTCCTAGAAAATTTGAGTCACGAGATGTTTTGCTGCCGCAGCATGCTGCTGTATTTTGTCTATCCGGTTTTTCTTTTCAAATTGAACGCAGTATGGTATGAAGAAAATACGCGAAACGGACGAGTTTTCATCTATCCGGTTTCTCTTCTCGATTTGAACCTAGTGTATGCTGAATGCTCATTGGTTGAGATTGATCTGCTATGCATATGCAGCTATATAAATCATTTTTATGCGCGATGGCTCGTATCCCATGATTATAAGCTCTATGAGAGATGATCACTTATGATAGGATTATTCTTCAAAACCTGCTACAGTTCCAAAAGTATGATCCAATTATAAGTGATTATCTCTCAACCGTTGTGCAACTGTTGAGTTGTCTGAACGCACCTATTGCTTGATACGTAAGGTGCGGTCAAAGCTTCACTACAAATGCTTCGAAGCATTGTTCTTTTTTTATTCGTCATTAAATGTAGAATAAAGATAGAACAATGTTTTCAAATCATTTCTATATAGTGAGACTTTGGCCGTACCCAATAATCGACCCCCAGAAGCACAATCGCTCATTAACGAATCAAAAGTGGCGCAAAGTTTAAAATAGAATTTTTCTCGTGTATACAACATAATTCATTTACATTATAATTCTTATAAGAAATGCTCAAAATTAAATTTATAATTAAATTTCACAATGGATTTACTGGCATTAAACAGCTGTGACTTTGATATGATTTTTAGATTCCGAGCACAATTGAAGACCCAACAGTATACCGTGAAATCAAAGAAATACTTCAAAAACTTGGATATGCGAAGCTAGCACCAGATCCTCAATAACCTATTTTACAAAGTTTTATGCAAAGTGTTTTTATATAATGGACCTATACAATACAAATTCCCAAAAATTTGAAGATTTTACGACACAATTGTAAGTTTAAAATTTGTAGATTGACACTTTTTGTAGATCTGTTCTTCTTATTGCATCATGTTCCTGTTCTCCATGAGAAGAAAACAAGAGAAGAATAATGCAGAGAAAAAATTCGGAATATGTTACATAATAAAACGATTAGATTCATTAATTCGAATTTTGCTCATTTATATCAAAATATTTTATGTACTTATATCATGATTTATATCACATGATGTTAATAAATATTTTAGTAAGAGAATATATTCAAGCAAAAGAAATAATAGCATATATAAACAAGTAGTTTTGCATCTATTTATTTCTGCTTTGTTTTTATTTCTGTATTATTTTATTTCCTCCAAAATGGTTGTGTAATAGTAAACCAAAATACCAGAAACTTTAATAAAGTAAAAGATTATACTTTTTTATTGCTAAAAAATGATTTTCAGCTTTAAACCGAGTATCACATTTTTATACCGACGTTCATTCAAACATTTCAGTTTATCAAGGTTTCAAAAACAACCTGATACTTGAAACTGATTAAGTAAATTGAAATGTCTGACAAAACGTCGATATAAAAAAAAAAAAATGACAACGCGGTTCAAATCCGAAAATTATTTTTAGGAATTCTCATTAACATAGCATAAAAGCACCAAATATATTTTTTTGTCGTAAAATTTAATTAACATCATAAAGATAATTACTGAAAGAAACATGGAAGACACACGCACACACATATACGGAGAGAGAAAGAGAGAAAGAGAGAGAGAGAGAGAGAGAGAGAGAGAGAGAGAGAGAGAGAGAGAGAGAGAGAGAGGAGATAAAACGCTCATGCATCTTGAATATTTGCAAATCTCATGTGCTATAGTTTGTTTATTCCATTTTTTGGCTCGAATATAGGAAATCCGTCATATATATTGCAAGGATGTACACGGCATACATCCACGTTAAAAGTATCAGGGCACATTTTTTGCAAATGTTTTTAATGACAATATAATAAGAAACAGTATAATAATAGTAATATTAATTTTATAATTATAAATTGTTATTAACACTATTTTGTTGATTTATTCAATAAAATTTTCCAACTTTTTACCATCATTTTTTATATAATTATTTAATATTTATTATAATAATCATATTAATCATATATTTCCTTAATGTTAATCCATATCAATCGGCTACTTCCGCTTATGTGTCGCACCGCCGAAGAATAAAAATATCGCGTTTTTTGTTTATTATCAAGGAGACACGGGTAATTATTTGATCATTATTCGTTTTATAATTATTCCAATGCAAGAGTGCTGTTATTCAGCTTAGCTAATAAAAGGAACACATGCTCTTGAGTTTGGATTGCGTGTCTCCTTACCTATATAATCGGATCTATTTGCTTTTATATCAGGCTATAAATATTTTTTTTCCTTCCCCCCTCAACCCCGTATCATTTGTCGTAGTACCTTCATGTACTGTATGTATAGCTCTGCGTAGGTGAGTTGTGTGTTATATGATACATTATTATTACTATCCACCAGAATTTTATCATGCCCGTTTGGTTTGTTTAATAATCGTGTGTGTCTTGCATTGTCATATATTTGTCACATTGAAATAATGATCATTTTTATTATTGATCTGCTTTAACACGCAACAAGTTACTCCACGACCTTCAGCACCTTACCAATTGCAATGGTTTTATCTGAAATAAAAATATGAATGTTATCGTAATATTTAAGCAAAAAAAAAAAAAAAGACAAAGGTAAATAGTAATAATAAAACAAAGACAGAAGATAATATAACGCGCGTTGGCGACTTACTTTCATCCCTAAGAGTAAAGCGACCCATTTGTTGGAATAACTTGAATCTTTCAAGACATATAACTCCCGCGCACTCGATTCTCATTATAGCCACTTGGTCCTGCTTGACAAACCTTGGCCTCGTTTTACTTTTATCGCCAGTTTTCTTGTCCACCAAGCAAATCAACGCCTTTACCGTAACCTCTTCCGCAGCACAATGGATATGCATGACAGCACTATATCCCGCACAAATGATACTTTTGTGTTCCAGTATGACAACTTGAGCATCAAAGACCTTTCCGGTCTTGATAGGATTGTTACTATCGCATAGGACAAATCCAGGACTAACATCTTCCTCCTCAATGCCTTTTAGCTTGATTTTCACATTTTCTCCAGGTCCAACAGACGTCACTTCCTCGTCATCTGACCATAACTGATCTACCGTTACCGCTGTCTACAAATTTTAAAATTTTTTGTTCATAAATCATTTTTTATACAAATTCGTTTATATATTATAAAATCAATCATAAATTAGTTGAGAAAATCAGTTAAATCAATCTATAACTAAAAAAAATATACACATACTCTATTTGGCATAACAAGCAATGACTGTCCTTTTTTAGCTTCGCCCGCTTCGACTTTGCCCATAACTACTGTTCCCATGTCCTTATATTTGTCGACGATTGGCATAATAAAAGGTCCGTTGCTTTTACGATTCAGCGACGGTAGCGAATCAATAAAAGGTATAAATGGTGGGCCACTGTACCAGTTGCAGAGATGTTCCGGTATGGGATCTTTTAACCCAATGCCGAGTTGACCAGAAACTGGCATAAAAGTAAGATCTTTTGCAGGATTGAATCCTAATTTACGTAGGTATGGCAGTATCTTATCCCTACAAGATGTAACAATTTTGTTTTTTTTATTTGAGCGAAATATGACAAACACATGTTTGATACTGTCGCATCAAAAAATATTAAATATTAAAAATATACTTTATTTATTTAAAAAGTGATTTTGTACGGTTTTACACATGTATGTTATATTCTAAGTTTTAGATTATATTCTCATTTATTTTTTAAATCACATTAAAGTTTCTAATAATTTGGTTCTGATTTTCTAATTTTGCACATCTAATGCATACCTGCATTCATTGTATCGTCCTTCATCCCACTCAACAGTAGGGTCATCCATCTTATTTACTAACACAACCAAATGCTTGACACCCGCGGTCTTAGCAAGCATAGCGTGTTCTCTCGTTTGACCCCCTCTATCAAAGCCGGTTTCGAATTCACCTTTTCTCGCGGAAATAACAAGTACTGCTAAATCAGCTTGTGCTGCGCCGCCAATCATATTAGGTACGAAGCTTTTATGGCCAGGTGCGTCTAATATTGTAAAATGCTTTCGTTCTGTCTCAAAGTATGCTCTACCAACTTCCACAGTCTTCCCTTTTTCCCTTTCTTCTTGATTTGTATCCAGTGCCCAACTTAAGTACCATGTTTCTCGACTTCTTTCTTTCGCTTCTCGCTCATATTTCTCCAAAGTACGTTTATCAACCATTCCTGTAAGTGCCATGATCTGACCTCCAATAGTTGATTTACCAGCGTCTAGAATACACATTATATAATAATCAATAGCCAAGAATGCGTAAAATAATAAAATTATTCTTTGTTTTTTAAATTTATTACTTACCAACATGCCCTATAAAAACAACGTTGACGTGTTCCTTTTTGCTTTTGGTGTCTTCTGCTATTTTGACAGGTTTCTTTTTAGGTACTTTAACAACTGTTTCTTCATCTTCTTCATTATCAGCCTGAAAATAACATAAAATTTCCTATTATTTTGCAGTTTATTTTTACTAAAAATATTTTTATAAGTAAATAATATTTTAAAATTATCAATTGATGTTTGAAAGTTCTCTAAAATCATTTTGCAGTTAATAAGTAATAAATAATTGTAAATATTTAATTTTAATGAATGCAAATTAAACACAATTTAATAAAACAATTTAAAGTTAAGTTACTTATGATATCTAGGCTGCATTCTGATATTTACACCAGTATAGTGGAAATCTTTAGCATGTGATATAACGTATAGATTTTCAATGGCAGTAAATATTGCAATTCTAATACTAAATACTTATAAAATGATACAATTCAAACACACATTTAAATTGACAAAAACTCTATATCTAAACACAAATGTAATTGTTTTCACAGATAACATGTTATAGTATAAATATCACTGTGGTTGAAACAACATTCACATCAAAATATACAACCAAATATATGCTCACTTCTTCATTTTCAGGAGTAAGCAAAGGATCGCCATCAACAGCTGCTTCTTCCCAAGAATCTGCAGGTTGATCATCTGGGCTAGTATTTAGTTGGTCATTAACATTCGGCGGTGGAGCCCCTCCCCCAGCAGGAGGTTCCTCAACTGGATCTGATAGAACAACAGGTGTTGTGTTTCCTGCAAAAAGAACATGTAAAGAAATATAAAATTTTTATATAAAAATAAAAAAATTAAAATCAAAGTTGGTGATAGTTAAGATTAAATTATATATTTAACTCATTATGGTTCTTTTATATAATATTACATGTGTATTATTAGTAAGGAAACAAAGCACTACTGGCAAAACAAATTAAGAAATCAAAATATGTATATATAATTTAATTAAGTATATATACAATAAATATACAATATACAAGAATAATATAAAATCTATATCTAAACATCTATATCTCTACTGTTATTAATTGTGTTATCTCAACTGTTTCTTTAGAGCACAAAAGTCATAAATCACAATTAAATGTATTTTTTAGTTGGAAGATCTTTCCTTAAGATATTTGATTAAAAAGATATAGTTTTTTTAAATTGTATATTACTATATTAAGCATATATTACTACATTAAGCATAAAATATACAAATACATAGAATTCTTTATAAAACTACAATTAGATTTTTTATGTACGATATTAAAAAAATCTTATAAATCAAATTTTTAACATTAAAATATATATTGTATCGATCATAGAATCATTATTTGTTTTTACTTTACTATAATAATAGAATGTTATTATGGTATATAAATGACATTTTGTGTTTCTTATCATTGCAGTATCAATCATATATTTCCAATATTTTTAACAGTCAGTTATAATAAATCATCCATTTGATCAATAGTATTACGGTAAGAAAGAATTCAAAATCTTGCAAGCACAAAACATGAGATCCTTGTGCATTTAGATCAAACCATATGGTATCTAATTCTACATGTGAAAAAATTATAGCTCTCACATTCCGCAGAATTTATTTGGATAGAAGTCCAATATGTTTATTCATAGTAGAAATATATGAACCAAGTAAGATTTAGTTTTTTTCTTTGAACATGATATAGAATGACTAGTGATATATAGTAATAAGAGATTAAAGAAAGAGAGTGTTGCGCACGAGGATCACAACAATGGTGATTCTGTGAGCATAGCACAAGTACACTCTGGACAGCTGTCCTCCACGTTTGTTGGCGTGAATTCGCGATCAGCTGAGCAAACTAACCGTGATGTACATCGACGGGTACGGAAGAGGAGGTGGAGGTGGAGGTGATGGTGGTAGTAGTGGTGGTGGCGGTATTCATCACGGCGGCGACATTGCAGGGGCTGCTGCTGTTGGCTGCCGCCGTCGCGGTGCTGCTCTGCGACGACTGCGAGTTGATGCAGGCAAATGAAGGCACGAATTCAGCAGCGTTGACATTTAGGGTGGAGAATTTGCTGTCGATAGATTTGTCCTGCGACGTAGGTGGGCCGACAATATCGCCGTTGCTGTCCGCCTGCTGTTCCCACGAGTCTGGTGCTATGCTGTTCGCCATGTTAAACAGTTGTTTCGATACACGCAGCCGGTCCACACAGCTGAACGAGTTATGTTATTAACAGGAAGGATTTCGAGACACAAGGAGACACACCTCACCACACTGCCGCGCGCTGAGATCCGACACACCGGGATATCGGGGCGTTCGAAATGGGGTTTTTAAAAAAATAGTTATTTGTAGTACTTTTCTCTCGCGTACACACACGTATCGCGTACACGCGTATATATTCACTCACTATTCCGCGTGCATGCGTGCCCCGTGGTCTGCTCCGCTGCTGCCGCACTGCTCGATAGCCGGAACTACCGTATAATCGAAACATCGACTGTTCGGCGATATCCGGTCGAAATGTGCGAGATTACGTGCGATAATGGCCGCGTTCAACAAAACAATTGCTGAGTTTTTGTCTTGTCAACATTCGACGTTGATTTGGTGACTCGATTATGGTTCTAAAAGTAATAACCAATCATGTTTGATTGCTACAAAGCAGCTTGATCTGCTGAACGCAAACAATGGGTGCGTTCAGACAACTCAACGGTTGAGAGATCATCACTTATGATAGGACTATTCTTCAAAATCTGCTGCGGTTCCAAAAGTATGATCCAATCAAAAGTGATTATCTCTCAACCGTTGTGCAACTGTTGAGTTGTCTGAACGCATCCAATAGCTGCGTTCCAATATTCATTGCTATACTGGGTTCAAATCGAGAAGAGAATTCTACTGCATAGAGAAAGAAATACAAACAAAATAGCGTTGCGCGCGGAATTGACAGATTACTCGCTGGCAGCCAATGATACAGTAGCGCTGATAGTGTGCTCCCCGAACGCAGTCTTCGTCCCTCCGTTTCGATTCTCTTATCTTATTGAACTCACAAGTCAGGCCTGGTTTATGCGGGCAATAACTGTTAACTTATGCCGGAACCGGTAGAGTTTAACTATAGGATTCCAATACTTCTGTTTATACGCATTCGGCAATTTCGTATAAACAGAAGTATTAAAATCATATAGTTAAACTTTACCGGTTCCGGCATAAGTTAACAGTTATTGCTCGCATAAACCAGGCCTCAGTGTATAGCCTAGTTGGCGCTACTTACTGCTAAAGAGAAAACAACTTCTCTAGGTAATTCTTAGATCCCGCAGTTATTTATCGAATTTTTTATCAATGCTCTTTCATGCTCTTTGAGCCACTGTAACATTGACCATGGGTGCGTTCGGACAACTCAACAGTTGCACAACGGTTGAGAGATAATCACTTCTGATTGGATCATACTTTTGGAACCGCAGCAGATTTTGAAGAATAGTCCTGTCATAAGTGATGATCTCTCAACCGTTGAGTTGTCTGAACGCACCCATTAATTGTACCGTGGTATGCTACACTCGATTCAAATAGAGAAGAGAATTTCGACGGACAAAAACGCGTTTGTTTCGAGCACTTTTCCTACAAAAAAGTCTCCCCATTCCACAGCCATTGGCTGTCAGCAAGTGTCCCGCCAATCCCGCACGCAACGCTATCCCCACTCTGCCCGCTTTTCTTTTCCTATGCGCAGTAAAATTCTCTTCTCTAATTGAATCAAGTATAATCTTGCGGTGTCCAATCGTACTGTGGTCAATCGTACCGTGTCCAATAGTACGTGTCCAACTGTGGTCAAACGGAATACGCCCAAAGATTTATCACTAACGTTTAGCTCCGTTCATCACAAATCAGCGTTTTGGAAATGGTTATTCGCGATAGGACTGTTCTTCTAGATCCAAACCAGATCTAAAAGTGTGTTCCAGTCACAGACGACAAATCTTGGGTGCGTTCACTTTGGACGCTTACGCGCTTTAAGCGTCAGTCTGTCTTTATTGTTGTTTAAATATAGAACAAAGATAGACTGACGCTCAAAGCGCGTAAGCGCCCAAAGTGAAAGCACCCTTTAACTGCTTGTTCAGAGCATTGACGTCTGTGCTGAACGTAGCCATTGCATGACAGTTTAGTTTGTGAGTTTTTGCAAGTAACTTTCCTTCGTAATTATTTTTATTCTCTCAATTAAGAGAGATCGCTAAATAAAAATGGTACGTATTTTATTAATAATTATTAGGATGTGACACCGAACGGATTTCTCGTTCAATCGAACAAGTTGTGTTAAAGTCATGATTTTTGTCGTTAATAGTGCAGAAAACACAGTGAAAGACATAGCTTGTTATAAAATGTGACATTTATTTTCTTAGAAAATTGATAACCAAAAACAATTGCATGTGTAATTTGACTCTGGTTTATAGTTTTCATTGAATAATATAAATATGTACACACATATTGAAAGGTTAAGTATCACAATGACTTGTGTGTATGAATAAATTTTAAGACAGCATTTGTATTAACTCAATAGACTTATACACACATTTTTACCAAGCTTAACAACTGTATGTTGGTTTTTTTTTCAGTTTCGTAATCAGTATGACAGTGATGTGACAGTATGGAGTCCTCAGGGACGTTTACATCAAGTAGAATACGCCATGGAAGCAGTAAAACTAGGATCCGCCACTGTGGGCCTTAAGAATAAGACACACGCTGTTCTGATCGCGTTGAAGAGAGCATCTTCTGAATTGTCAGCTCATCAGAAAAAGATCATACCAATAGACAAACATATGGGAATTAGTATCTCAGGTTTAACTGCAGATGCTAGAATACTAAGGTGTGTTGTTTGTTGATCTATGCATTTTTTTGTTACATATGTGAAGATAAAAGAAATGTGTTTGTAACTTGCAATAACAAATTTATCAATAGCCGTTACATGAGAACCGAATGTCTGAACTACAAGTATTCTCACGATGATACATTGCCCGTGGGTCGCCTGATTGCATCGTTGGGAAACAAAATGCAAACTTGCACTCAGAGATATGATAGACGACCGTACGGCGTCGGTTTACTTGTTGGGGGATACGATGTGAGAATTTATCGAAGATCATATGTATTAGCATGTTGATATAAATCATTGTACACTTTTGATAATACTTGTTTATTCAGGATCAAGGACCCCACATTTATCAGACGTGTCCTTCTGCCAATTACTTCGACTGCAAAGCGATGGCTATAGGCTCTCGCTCTCAAAGCGCGAGGACGTACTTAGAGAAGCACTTGAACGAATTTTTGTCGTGCGATCTCGACGAGCTGGTGAAGCACGGTCTCAGAGCGTTACGCGACACTTTACCTAACGAAGTCGATTTGTCTATAAAGGTAAATAAATAACTAATTAAAAAACTTCGCAGCAATCACAGAGAGTACGCAAGCAAAAACATGATCTCAAATCTCATTAAAAATGTGGAAAAAAACGAGATGTAAACTCTTTTATTGCGCTTTCCAGAATGTATCAATCGCGATAGTGGGAAAGGATTACGATTTCACTGTTCTCGACGAAGCCGCAACGGCCGCTTACTTGTCTCAAATCGAAGGGGACGAGAAACGCGGAAGACCCAGCGAACCAGTTGTGCAGGATGACAGCAGACCGCCGCAAGATCCGCCCGCTGATGAAACCCCGCAAGATCCTCAAGTCGCTATCGCGATGGATACAGATTGAAAAAATAGTAACAAACTTTATCGAATACAAATTTATAAAAGATTCAAGCTGCATTTGTTATTAAATAAAATTAAACTCTCGCGGTTTTTGTAACACAACAGTTTATTTACACTGGGATAATAACATCGATCCATTTACAATTGTTACCATGTGATGTGTGTCTGAAGTACATACGTGTATACGTAAAATTTTCTAGCGCGTTTTTTTCGATTAAATCTCGTAGCTTGCGCTTTTTTTTTTTTTTTTTTTTACGCCACAGAATCGTCGATTTGTTGCTTCCTTCGTTGTTTCAATATGTTCGTCAGAAAATACTCTCCGGCTTTGTATGACGATCGTACTAAAGGACCGCTAGCGGTATACAAGAAACCCATTTCGTTTCCCACATTTTCCCAAATTTTGAATTTTTCGGGCGTGACGTACTCGATGACCTTTAAATGCCTCTTGGTGGGCTGCATGTACTGGCCCAACGTTAGAGCATCCACACCGATCTCTCTCAGATCTCGCATAGTCTGTTCGATTTCTTCCTCGGTCTCGCCCAAACCTAACATTATGGACGATTTCGTGATCAAGTCGGGATTGAATTTCTTAGCCGCCTTTAACACTGCCAGTGATTGTCTGTACAGCAAACAGTAAATTAATAAACTAATAAACACATATACAAGAAATTATGAGCGATATTGGTGAATATTTACCTATATCGAGCGCGTCTATCTCGAACAAAGGGAGTGAGACGCTCTACAGTTTCGATATTGTGTGCGAATACGTCCAGATTGGAGTTCACGATCGTAGCGACGCAATCTTCATCTCCTCTAAAGTCAGGTACGAGGCATTCCACCAGTATGTTGCTCCTGATGAAATATAATATAAATAATATCGCCATTTCAGTTTTTTTATGGGAGAAGAATAATGTTACTAAAGTACTTCTTTTTTATTTCTTTAACAGTAGCTGCAATATGACTGGCTCCGCCGTCTTTCAAATCTGAAAGAATCGCATGTTTTTTTATTATAAATTTTATTATAAATTTTTAATATAATCTGTGTAATAGTCAAAAAACACAAACAACAGTCTCTACTAACCATCGCGATCTACAGAAGTTAGTACAACATAGTCCAAGCCCCAATCTGCTATTGCGCTAGCGGTATTAACTGGCTCTTCAGCATTTAAGGGAGGTGGTGTGCGTGCAGTTTTGACTGAACAGAACCGACATCCTCTAGTACAGGTGTCTCCCATTAACTAGACAAAGCCATCATTATATCTTGACATGGTTTTTGTAAAATTTTAAGTATTTTTAGTAATAAAAACAATTAAATAAACAAGTAAGGTGTCAACTAAGTTACACTAAATTAAAAAACAAACCATAATAGTAGCAGTTGCTGTGCCATGAGTGCCACCGCCCCAGCATTCTCCAATGTTAGGACATTTGGCTTCTTCGCAGACCGTGCTCAATCGTAACTGTCTTAATTGCTCTTTTATTCTGCTGTAGCTTTTGCCTATAGGTATCTCGGTTTTCAGCCATGGTGGTAGTCTTAGTCGTCCTGACTCACCCTTTTCTAACTTTAATTTCCTGTTGTATTCTTTAACGTTGTTCTGTAGAAAGTCTTCAAACTGCGGACCATCAGCCAACTTCTCCGAAAATCCTTTATCACTTTCCGTTGAAGCTCGTGCACACTATAATAAAACTTTTTTTTTATCTATCTGATAGATACAAGAGCTTATGTAATTTTATATCGACAAGTATAATAATCAAAACTTGATACCCGTGTTGGAGATATTTATTTAACTTTTGTAACGTTTGTAAATAAAAACAAATCATCAAAGCTTACCGCTAGGTGTAAGTGGCAGCTGGCGAGATTTTTGGGACTCGTAGCACTGAATATCCGCAACATGTTTGTGATGTGAAACAAAGACAATGTGTAAAGCAAAAAAAACAACCTATTTCACATAGGTTGGTGCAAGTATGGCTCTTTGGACCGAAACTAACTAGTCCATACGCCAGTCTAAGTCAAAAGAATATATAAAGAATATTATGGCAAAAGCGCCAGTCTATGTCAGAACGCAGATACAAAGACCACTGTAGCAAAACATACGCTATGCTTTGCATAAAATCTAAAAATTATGTTGTCGATTGAAGAAGACCGAGAAACGATACTTCCGTTACGACGGTTACGTTGGAACTTAACCTATTTCACATATTTTGACAGATCCGTGATGCAATTATATGTAGACATATGTACATGTCTGTGATGCAATACACAGACATCTATCTTATCTTCTCGAAGCTTCGGAGTAAGAAGCTGTGTGTGTGTGTGTGAGGGGCACCGACGTCCGATAAAACGCTATAACGACTGTTTTTGGTTCTGTTCCGTGCTGTGTGTCCACAAAGTGTCGATAATGCAGATCGAAAGCAGCATGTGAGTCTCTTTCGTATCACTTGCACAAGAAGTAAAAGAGTATCAAAGCTGGTAACTTTCGAATACGGCAAAATGGTGAGTTTATTGTTAAATTTTTCCATTGAAATCCCGTACAATATGCGTCACATACTTGCCAATGCAATGACAAATTTATCCGCACAGAATTTGTTGACATTTTTTAGTAAATCATGAAAAAATGTTTAAATCATTTTTTGAGGTTAGACACGCAACAGATGCAGTTTTTTTGCGATGATTTTAATTTTCCGGACGCTGCTTTTTGTCTCTTGTATGTGCAGAAATGTGACGTAGTTCTGGGGATTCGATAATTCTCTACGCCGGATTAAAAAATATCAAATATATGACAAAGTAGCTGAAAGGTTATATTCGCTTATCTCGGAGAAGTCCGCGAGTCATAAAAAAAAGTCAAGTCTAGAATAGAGTCACAAGACACGTGAGTCTTCTCACGCATTCCTATTTTTCCAGTCACTCGTGATTCCCGAGAAATTTCAGCACATTCTTCGTGTGATGGGCACGAACATCGACGGTAACAGAAAAGTCATGTTCGCCATGACCGCGATCAAGGGTGTTGGTCGACGATACGCCAACATTGTCCTGAAGAAAGCTGATATCGACTTGGACAAGAGAGCCGGAGAGTGCTCAGAGGAAGAAGTAAATTCTGCTTTACATTCTTCAAAATAAAACTTTTATCTTTGTGTGCTTCATTATTTATTTAATTTATTAAAACTAATTTTTAGGTAGAAAAAATTGTCACTATTATGGCCAATCCAAGGCAGTACAAGATTCCAGACTGGTTTCTCAACAGACAGAAAGATATCGTTGACGGAAAGTACTCGCAGGTAAATCTATTTGTATCAGACCGCATTTCTCTTTTTATATCTTTTTATAAATTTTGTTGCACAATTCACGACTGATCGTACATATTTATTGTACATTCAGATGGTAGCTTGTGCAATAGGAACTGCACATATACACACCTATTGCTCTTTGTAGTGTCTGTACTACTTTAAGCAAAAAGAGTATATGCGCAACAAAATCACATTCAAAATATAACTGAGAACATTGAGACATTTCTAAAATGTCAGATATATGTTTTATGATTTTTATTTTGTAGCTTACAAGTGCCAACTTGGACTCGAAGTTGCGTGAGGACTTGGAAAGAATGAAAAAGATCAGGGCGCACAGAGGTCTGCGTCACTACTGGGGTCTCCGTGTGCGTGGTCAGCACACGAAAACGACCGGTCGTCGCGGACGCACGGTCGGTGTGTCCAAGAAGAAATAATTTCATGTGTTTTATGTATATTATCTTAAAATAAAATTTTGAACTTCGATATCTTTGTTTACACGGATAAAAATGCTCCAATTCATATAAAATTAAACAAAGAAAGAGATTTTCTTCGATTTATATTGTTTGACCAATACGATTGATCAATTCTGAAGATTTTGCAATGACACCGTTTATAAATGAAAACCAACGCTCTTCAAGCGTGAACTCGCACCAATCACAGGTCAATTCCGCACAACTCGCAACTTAGGGTCTCCGCGCAAACTCTTTCGTAGAGCGTTACGTTACGTTAAGTACTGACTATAAACTAAGGGCCATTCTACAATGAGTTGAAAATGTCCCGTTGCCAGTTGCGAAAGATAAGCCTCTTGCACAATGGAAGAAATAGCGATAGCGTGTTAGAAATAACACCAGTTTTAAAGAGTTTATATTTATAAATAACGGTAGGAACAGCGGAATCTAACATACACGTCAGCCTTACTACCTTCATTGTAGACTAGCCAATAGAGATATAATGGCTAGTCTACAATGAAAGTTGTAAGGAGTAGAGAGTAAACTATTTTTCGGTGAAGAAACGACGACGGGAATAACAAAATGGACAATTCCCATTTCGCACTGCCTACTGCCTTACTGTTAGCCAATGAAAGACGTGTGTTAAAAAACGCAAAATAATTACTTGTATAGACAAAAATAAAAGAACTCCAAGAACCTTACTTCTTACTCTATACTGCCTACTCCCATTGTAGACTAGCCATATGCTATGGATACTTTTGCGTCAATGGAAATCCGAATGTGTGACGTATCGGCGGGAAGGTGGTGGGGATGGGCGCGTTTTAACTGCTCTCGAGGAATTCGCACTGTGATTCTCACAGGACGAGGTGCAAAACAGGTGCAACGAAATCGAATTTCCGGCTGATTCCGAGCTGATACGCTCGTGATATTTGTCGTTCGTGAGAAACGAACGCGGAGCGATCGTCGAGAGATTTTTTTCGGAAGAGTGACACGTGAAACGCTGTTATTGCGGTATTTGAGACGGATTTGTCTGGTCAGGGAAATGCTCTAGCCGATAAATCCCGCACACGATACGATGGAGTTTATGCTGCTGTTCAAGTCCGTGCTGAGTGCTTGTCAGTGTCACACTCTAATCACCGTGTCATAAAATGGTAAGTACTCCGAGAGACAATGCTCGGCGTAAAAAATATAGACGCGATCGCGTACATTTTTAACATCGCGCTTTAGATGTAACTCGTTATACGCGCTATAAAATTGCTCCGACTTTGCACGTGTGATCGATCGTGTATCTTTTGTGAGTTATCACGAGATTAGTACATGTGCTGTTGGAATCGCTCGCCTATTTTTAATTTATATATGACAAACTGTGATTGTTAATGTTTTTTAATTATATTATTTTAAACACTCTTGCAATTATATTGTAATTCTATTTAATTACTGCATGTTTGTGTTTCCTAAATGCGTTTATTTTGTGAAAAAATTATACTTGTACTTTTGTGTTGTCTGTAATTTCAGGGTGCAAACATATCCCAATTGGAGAGAGATATTGGCTCTGATCAGTTTCCACCTAATGAGCATTACTTTGGTTTAGTAAATGTGAGTGTGATAATTTCAACATTGTTTAAAACATCACAACTTTGTACATTAAATTTGTGATTCTTAACAAAAATGTACTTTTGCAGTTTGGCAATACATGTTATAGCAATTCAGTGCTGCAAGCTTTATATTTTTGTCGTCCCTTCAGAGAAAAAGTTTTAGAATACAAAGCAAGAAACAAACGAACTAAAGAAACATTGCTAACATGTCTAGCAGACTTGTTCTACAGTATTGCGACCCAAAAGAAAAAAGTAGGTTCCATAGCACCAAAAAAATTCATTGCCAGGCTGAGGAAAGAGAAAGGTTGGTACAATGTGTTCAAAAGCAGATGTGGAAATTTAAATTAATTCGCTTTAATTGAAATTTAATTGAACATATTTTAGAGGAATTTGACAACTACATGCAACAAGATGCACACGAGTTTCTGAACTTCCTTATAAATCACATAAATGAAATTATTCTGGGTAAGTATTTCGTTTGTTTTTTTTTTTTTTGTTTTTTTTAACGTTTATGTGACAACTTGTGATTGTAATTCCACACGCTAGCGGAGAGAAGTCAGAGCAAACCTGGTGGAGGAAAATGCGGAGCAGGAGATGCTGCTAGTTCACCACCTGAGCCTACGTGGGTTCATGAGATATTTCAAGGGATACTGACGTCGGAAACGCGCTGCCTTAACTGTGAGACTGTGTCTAGCAAAGATGAGGATTTCTTTGACTTACAAGTTGACGTAGATCAAAACACATCAATCACACACTGCCTCAGATGCTTTTCCAATACAGAGACCTTGTGTAGCGACAACAAATTCAAGTGTGATCATTGCAGCAGTTACCAGGAAGCTCAGGTAATAATCTTGCAATACTGTTTTGTTATTTATACATCATAAGTTACAACACAAGTCACACAAGTTATTATTACAGTATACAATTATAATATAAATGTGATTTTAAATTGTAGAAACGAATGAGAGTTAAGAAGTTACCTATGATTTTGGCGTTGCACTTGAAAAGATTCAAATATGTGGAACAGTATAATCGTCACATTAAAGTATCTCACAGAGTGGTTTTTCCATTGGAGCTCAGACTTTTCAATACTGTAAGTCTTTGTTTTTCAGTAGAATGATCGCGAAAGATCTCAAATTTTCTTCTATAATCAATAATAATTTGAAAAATTTTTAAATGTCATTGTAATAGTAACGTTTTCGTTTTTGTTTAAATTCAGAGTGATGATGCTGTAAATCCAGATCGTTTGTATGATTTGGTGGCAGTTGTGATACATTGCGGAAGTGGGCCTAATCGAGGGCATTACATTTCTATAGTTAAAAGTCACGGATTCTGGTTACTTTTTGACGATGATATGGTCGATGTAAGTCGTTCGTTGAGCTTTTATTCGTATGTTTTTGATAAAAGAAAGTAACAAATTTTGTATTTACAGAAAATTGATGCGTCAACTATAGAAGATTTTTATGGACTCACGTCGGATATTCAGAAGAGCTCCGAAACTGGTTATATTTTATTCTATCAATCGCGAGATTGTAGTTAAAGTTTAATACAAATAGTAGATCAAAGTTAACTCCTTCTTCTACACTCGTACACTCATTCATATTTCAACAAAGTGCGCAGTGTAAATGTGAAGTTTCGAATATTCTATTACGTCAGATTATTTATGAGGGAAAAATATGATATAAATGGTTTGAGTATATATATTTTTTTTATTTCTAAATTTATACATATAAATAAGTTTAGATAAACAGAAAATAAAATTTTTTTTCTATCTAACATATAAAAAAACTTTTGTATGATATATAGAAAACATTATTTTCTGGTTATCTAAATTTGTTGTAGAACGTTTTTTAATTCAACTTTTACAATCCACCGATCGTTGAAAGAAAAAAACAATTGGTACCAAGGTTCATATAGTATTTATATTTATTTATATTATTCGTGAGCTAGTCTGTTTTTGAAGAGAATGGATTCAATTAGTTATTGTATACTTGCGTATTTGTCAATACAAAGAGAAACGTTGGAAGCACTATCAGATTCTATACAAATGTAAAGATATGACTGAGAATAATAAAAAACTATTGTTATGAGAAGAGTGACCTTGTGTCATTTTACACCGCGTGTTTGTGAGGAGAAATAAAACAACAATGAGACAAGAACAACCTTTTATTTTCAAAATTCGAGTTTATTTAATATTTAAGCAATAAATTCATATGGGACAGGTGCAAGTAGAATGGGCGCTTCCTTTCCTGACACAATATGCGCTTTAGACGGTTCAGCTGGCTGTCTCTTGAGTTGAACGCGAATTTTCTTCTCCTTCGCCTCTTTCCTCAGCCTCTCGTTCTCCTTGACGCGCTTGAGGAAGTCGTCTCGGCACTTGGAATGGCTCACGTGTTCGATGCGCACGTTGATCCTCTTGGCGATGATGCGCCCGCGAACCCTCTTGTTCACAATCACTCCCAGAGCGTGTGCCGTCACATTGAACACACGACCGGTCTTACCGTGATAAACCTTGTACGGCATGCCCTTCTGTACGGCGCCGTTTCCCTTGATGTCGACGATATCGCCGACTTTGTACGTTTTCATGTACGTGGACAAGGGAATGGTTCCATGTTTACGGAATTTCCGAGAGAACAAGTCTCTCGTGCCGCGTCTGTAACCCTTTGAATTAGTCATTGCGCTGTGTTATTCTGAAACAAAAATTTAATTTGCATTATTAGTATTCTTATTATTTGCTTTTCGCACTGTGAACAAGCAAGAGAGAACCTAACCTAACCTACAAACATGTAAAATCTTTTCATACGAATGCAGACACGATAAGTTCAAGAAATTATGTTATAAATTCAAGATATTAGATTCTCAAGCGTAAGACTTTTTGTATTTTATAAAAATTTCTACACGTAATGCGCAATCTGCGATGTAAAAAAACACGTGGTTCGAAAAACCAATTAAATCAAATTGGATGTTTTTTATCTTTTGACCGAGGTAAAGACAATCAAATGTTACGAACGCAAGTATTCGATATATAGAAAGGAACAATACTTTTACTTCGTCTAAATTGTAAAAAATAATCTAAAAATAATGATAAAACCTGTAAAAAAACTCACTTTTGTCGCCGTCGACACAAGAAAAGAGATCTCGAAGATGTAATGTTTCAGAATCGATACTTCGAATTATTGGGCATTTACATGAAACACCAGAACCGAATCAGCCAATCTAATGCGATTGGTTGTTCTAGTAAACTGTCAGGGCGATGTCCCATTGAGTGGAAATCTATAGCGGAACGGAATGTGCGGAACCAGCTCGACGTAATCGTAACCATAGAAAAAGCGAAGGAAAGAAAACGGAATGGCTATGATTGGTCGAGCTGGTTCCGCACATTCCGTTCCGCTATATATTTCCGCTCAATGGGACATCGCCCTCACGTGGACTGATCCAGTATCACAAAGCTAGTTTCATTATCTACTGTAAATAACAGAACGCATCCTTTGTCCAAATTTTGTATCGCAAAAAAGCAATTTATTTTGATACACACACACATATATATATAAAATTTATATGATATGCGGAAACATGCCTATTCGATGTGCCGTTAATAAGTGTCCGAGCTCAAAGGGAAAGAATCAGATTCATTTTTTCAAGTAAATTCTAAAATAAAGTTTAGAACAAATATTGTTGTATATATTTTTAAATTTTAGTCAATGTATACATTTTTGTAGATTTCCATTACTGATAGAACCTGTGCTACGTCAATGGATACAAGCAACAGGTAGAGAAAACTGGATACCTGGCGAGTCCAGTCGAATATGCGAATTACATTTTAAGCCCACGGATTTCCACAACAAACCGATGTCCAAGAGAAAGCTTTTAAAAACGGACGTAGTTCCTACAGTAAAAGTAGCCAACCACACACCTCACATTAAAGAGAATACAAAACCTTCGCTAGGTGTGTGTACTATTTTTATTGGTACTTTGCTTTGTACCTGATGTAATTCCTGTGTATTTTCTTTTTTTTTCAGAAGTAATAGTACTCGATCAATTTATACAAAATAAGACTGCGGGTTGTGCACAAGGTATGCGATTTGTATCGCTCCAAATGATATTTTCATATAGAAACCACTTTTTCAAGAATATCTCATTAGAAATTTAATTATATTTGCACAGAGTCGGAAACTAGTAGAAGTTTCGGAACATGCAAAAATAAAAAGCAGCAAAGCCCCGACCGAGTAACAAAACTCGAGGACGAGATAAAACATCTTCAAGGAGTTATCGAGTCTATGCGGAAGAAACACGAACACGATTTAGAAGTGCAAGCGGACATGTTCAAACGGCTCATGTTTGAGACAGAAGAGGAATTAAAAAAGAAGAAAACAGATGTTCAAACAGAATTTCAATTATTCAAGAGACAAACAAATCGCAGAAACGTGAAAACTGCCATGAAAATACGAATGTTGCTGGATCTCATAAAAAAATCGAACATCATGTCTAGCACGTCATATGATGCTCTCGAACAGACTTTTGAAGATTTCTTGCTTGAAGATAAAAATCATAATCAATGTCACAACTACGCTAAAGTCGACGGTCAGGAAATACTGCCGCGAAAACGTCACCGTTTAACTAAACAAATATTTTTAAGTCAATAACTTCACGTTTCTTCGTCTTAAGTTGTTGAATCTCGTGTTACTAAGTATCTCATTTTTGTTTTTTGTCTCATTGTAGATAGTAATATAATAGTATAATAGAGATTGATAATATAATAGATTAATATAGTAAAATGTTGTTTTCCTTAAATATATTTTTTTTATAAATTATATACATGTACATACATACAATATTACAAATCTTAAGACCTTGAACACAATAGAAAAAATATTAGGTATAGGAATGAATATTAAATATTTAGAAAAGAAACTTGAAATAATGTTACATCAAACGAGAACGGAATAGATTAATTATTCCATATTCTTATTTTTAATTTATGATGCATTAATTTCTTCTAATTTCTTGTTTTGTAAAGAAATAATTCAAATTTCTTATTTAATATTTATTTTTATTATATTTTGTCTATTGTGCTAGGCCCATTTCTCAGAAATAAACTATCGTTCTAAATCCGGAAATAATCACAATACAAAAATTTCTCAAAAGAACATATGTAAATATTCATGCTTTTTTAAATATAAGTGTAGGTTTTTTTTAAAAAACGTTAACATTTATATCTGCTACAAAACGTTAACATTTCAATTAACTGTGATCGCAGAACCTAATTGCCGCATCAGTTTGTAACATTCTTGAAGTCGCTTTCTGTCTCCTATTCGTTCCAACGTCTTGGCAGCTTCCGTAAGCATACCAGCACGTTCACCCGGAGAAGCTAAAAGCAACGTCGGCAGATGCCTGCACGCCAGACACAACGCAACGGCATGCTCTCTCTCGCCATTATTCTGCTCCTGCGACCGATCCTTTCCGCATATGATGGAGGAGCGTGAATTTCTGTGATGGAGACTTCGATCCAACAGAATCTGAGTCCTCACCGGTGTCGCACCAGCCATGATACGCGCCGTTGCCTCGTACAGAAACACTCGTGGCAACACGGACTAAAAAAAAAATACATAACACGTTCGAATTTGGTTAGATTTCAATGAATATAAGAAAAAAAAAACTAAATGACGAATTTATACATACTGGAATATGTTGACACAGTTGTCTCAAGCATGCTAAGTCCCGTTGAAATCCTACAAGAGACAGGTTTGCAGTTGATCTCTCTGATTCGGCGTCGAAGTCTTGCCACAGTGTCGTACGCAATTCCAGAAGCCAGTCGCAAACCCACAATTGCATGAGCTAAAGAGCGAACAACAATCAAAAAATTAGAACAATTAGTGACGAGCGGTTGCACGCAATACGCACGATTCAGATGGGACATAAAATTTATGTACATGGCGCTGCGGACCTGCCACAAGCGTTGCACTGCAGGAGTATTGCATAGTTATATTTCATGCAATGCAACTACAATGCACACTTGTAACAGGTAATCGATAGAGCACGGATGTTATTGCTTGAAGAAGTTACTTTCAGCATAACTATGTGTAACTAATATCTTAGGCATAAGTTAAAGCGTTATAACAGAATTTGAAACTCCATGTAATAATACGCGAGAGAGAAATAAAAGTATTTTTTACATCTGAGTTTTTTGATTTGAGGAACATGCAGATGTAAAAATTATCGCACCCGATAATTTGATCAAATTATCACAAGTATATTGTATCGTATCAAAAATATCCTGATAACTTACTAAGACTTTCTGCGACAATTTCTCCTTGCAGTGATAGTACACCATAGATTGTTCGAGCAACAGTCCCGCCTGATCGATGGAACGTGTGGAAATCAGCTTCGTTGAGTGTTTCGCTGCTTGCAGGACGTTGAATACCGCGTGCGGTAACGAGTTGCTGCTGTTGTTGTCACTGATCTGATAATTCCGTTCGTAGGGGAATTTGCTCTCCACGATACTCCACGCTTTCGAGTCTTCCTCTCCCAATCTCCAACTAGCGGCAGCGCATATTACCGCTCCCCACCACAATCCAATTTCATCTTCGCATACTGTAGATAAAAAAATTCTCATGCACGTAATTCATAAGTCGATAAATATAGAACAAAATTCTAATAGTTTTGTTTTGTACGATTGAATATTTGCGTACTTTCCGCATTATCTTGATCAGTGCACATGAAGCAAGGATCCACTTCCGCGGACGCGACAATGAGTCGTCCCATTTCGAGCACGGAAGACGCGTGACATTCTCCAACAGTGCCAGTCAGCGAACGCATGCACTGCTCGATCAAATAATCCCTGTACGCACGAGCCGCGTACGACAGCGGATCCGCTCTGCTGTTTTGCGACGTAAACTCGCTGTCGGAATGCTTTTTGTACTGCCACTTCTGAGACGCTAAAAATTTGGCGCCTTCGTCGGTCATGATCCACTTGAGTTTCGAGGGAACTTTGCAGGAGGATAACAGGACGCGAGCCTTGCCGAGATAGTACTTGTGTATGTACGGAAAGAACGATTGTTTCAAGCATAACGCTGCGTTCACGTAGATCTCCGCGAGAAGCGGTTTCGGCATATTCTCGCCGGCAGCTTCCGCGTAATTGAGCGCGCAAAGAGCGAGATACAGCGTCGAGTCTCGCGTTCCCTCGGATAAACGAAGGCAGAACATGTGCTGATAAACGATAGATATCTCCACGGCGGTCATCTCCGCTTGCTGTCGCTCTGACTTCTCCGACAGCCATCTGTTGATCTGCATGACCCATCTGCCCAGCCACAACTTGTGTAAAACCTGTCGGATTATCTGCCACGTGGTAGCGAGATAGATCTCCGTGCGTGACAGCGGGAAAGATCGGCCAAAGTATTGCAAACACTGATGCAAGTCGCGATACGCTTGGGTGTATTCGTGCTTGGATATGTTAAACTCGGCCTGACGTCTCCAACGGCGTAATTCGAGGAAGAGCTTGCTGTCGGTTGGCAAAACGGGATCGCTGTATATCAACAGTTTACAGAGACCGCTTGCGAGAAGTATCAGATTGATGAGCCAGAGAACAACGTTGCTCCACACTTGCCTTTCCACTTCCGGTTGATCTATATAACATACACAAGGACTAAGAATGTTGATCAGGACTCAGAAAAGTTGATCAAAATAAAGTGAAAAATAAACTTATTTGCCATTTGCAAACCATCATGTACCTTGATAATTCAATATTGTCCGTCCGTCCACTTTTGTGTTCAAGTAATCGTAGTTGAACCGTCCGACGTTGTTCACGAGCACGCCGAGAGGATTGAATGCCAGGAACATCAGCATGAATCCGCACAATACCAATCGCGTATGATCTCTCAAACCGCTGTTGGACGAGGCAGATACGGGATGCAGGTTTTGCAACGCGTCTGAATCGTCCTTCACAGACGACGGCGAAGGTGGCGAAAGTGGTGCCGGTGCTGGCGACAAAGACGGCTCGCTTGTGTCTGAACGTGGAGGTGTTAGTTCACCACATGTCAATAAATCGCGAAGATTGTGTCGTTGAGCAGCCACTTTCAACGACAAATTCTCAGCCTTTAACTTCGCATTGGTATTCTGCAAATATCTGCATTTGTGCGACAGAATTAAAATATATTCCTCAGCAGCGTGTGAAGTTGAATTATTATCTATCGCCGTGTGTGAAGCAAGAAATTTTTAAATCTTATTACCTAATGTAGTCAATTGTTTTCCGTAAAATTGCGGACTTGTTTAGTTTGGCGTCAACCCCGACTATGATGTTTTTCAATTCAATTATTTTGTCATTGATAGACGTTCTGTATCGTCTTTCGATCGCGTTGTGAGCGCTACGTTTCACTTCCCTGACTCTCGGTACGCCCACGTGTGCGCTTGTGTTCAAACGATTGATTTGTACCTTGTCAGTATCCAGCACAACAGGAATCCCTTTTACATAGAGTTAGAAAACTATCAATTCTATATAATGTTGCGTAATTACATATCTTGCGTTTCAAAAGATGAGCTAAAAGCTAATTGCTTATAAATTAATTTTCTTTACCTGTAGTTAATACCGTCCCATTTGCGGTATTCACTAAAGTATGTATTTGATGTTGCACTGGAGTTGACGTAATAGTTTGCGCACCCTTCGAATACACAAGAGATTCTGATTTTATTAATTTGGCTGGCAGAAGTAATTGCTGCTGAGTGACCGGAGCTAAAGTCACAACGTTCGGCGATTGAACATTAAAATTCACATTCTGAGGTATTGCATACTGCGAACTGAACACAGTAGGCGTCGTGGAAGCCACTGATATTCTTTGCTGCCTGTTTGGTTGTGGTGATGCAATGTCTTGTTGTTGCACATAAGCAACAGGTTGACTGTTATCTGTGGCTGTTTGTTGTGCCACCAAAACATTAGCATTTTGAACATTTGTGTGCTTCAGAATAGCAGGATCCTTGAAATCTTTGAATTCTTCAGAGTTGTTGATATTTAAGAAATTAAAATTTTCTCCGTCCATTACATCCATTGGTATGGGGTCTTCCAATTCAGATAGTAAGGCTTCATCGCTGAAGAGCTCATTTGTCACATTTGTCAATAATTCACTGTCACAATTAGTAATAAGATCTGCAATATAAAATATAATCATACATGTGTGCAATATAAAATCTACACATACGTGTGTGCGTATGCGTGTTACCCAATACATAAATTTTAATTTTAACTTGGGGAACGCACAGAGAGAGAGAGAGAGTAAAATATTCGGAACAATTAAATGTCAATCGTACTTCAAAAGCAAATTACATGTCTTTGTTAATGTGTTAAATATTGGCAGACTGTAAAGTGACATAATTATCATTATTGCAACATTCCTAGATACGCATATATTTAAAAAGCCGAGCAAAGCAGATATCGATAAAGTGCGGTAACGTAGACACGTACCATCGATACCGGTGACTTCGTTAAGATTAAAGCTGTCAGTCGATTGAAAATTTGAGAAATCATTGTCTTGGGCCGGAACCCATCCTCCCGCGTCTGCCATTATGTTTTGTCAGTTTTAAACATTTAACAGTATCGAATAAAACTCGCAAAAAGAGCGTAGCACAGATAGCTTGTGCGAACTATTCCGATATGTCAAACGCAATACTGAAAAAATACAAACGATCGTACGACCTACGCGCGACCAATCCAAACGCCGCTGCAGATCGGACGATGTTACGTCATCCGGACGTGTTTCGCCCATGAACGAACATAATTACGTAGTAAATCTACAACTGCAATAATAGTGCAACTTTCTCGATTTGCATTTCGAGTTAATATCGATTTAAATCGATTTGCCGAAGTGACCAATGACGGACCCGATTGGACTTGAAGCAAAATTTGACCAATCGGAACAAAGAGAGCCAACGATTGTGAATACCGGCCTTTATCTCTTCTATAGTTGGTGAACTTTACTTTAATTGGTCGAACTCCCATCGCAATTCCAATCGATGATACGAGCTTTAAGTGATGTGCGTCACATCATTCATTTTCAGAAAAAAAAAATGAGGCCTGTAAAGGTGGAGGCTTTTTCTTTTGCCGAATTGACGAAGGGCCTCGATAACAATGGCCGTTCTCACGGACGGAACACGGAACTCAGATCTTCTCGAATCATCTCAATTGGAATTGAAATTCCACGACCGGGCTGACGCATGCGCGCGAAGCGAATTTCAGATCGAACCCAGTGTGACCGTTAAGTTCCACGATCTCCCCATCGCTGCATCGGACAGCGGCGCCGGCGAGTCTTCTTTTTCTCGGGGAGGACGTCTGTTTCCTTCCCGGGGAACGGAGCGCGTTCCGTCCCGATTTTTGTCCCCGCCGTCGCTGGAATGTGCGAGCGCAAGGCGAGCCTGTTGGCATACGCTCGCGTGCATTTGCGTTGTCGTGCGTGTAGTGACGCACACCAACGAGCGCCGTACACGTACACACTACTGCCACGCGTGTGCATTCGTTGTACACAACGGCGCAACGCAATGATGCACCGATGAACTCCATCTGTTTCGCCGTGACAGGATGCGTCGTCCGTCGTGAGCGCGTCGCTCGTCGAAAAGCCGCACTCGCGAGAATCACATTCTGGAATGCTCGTGACTCGGGAAGCGAACGTTTATCTTTCGTATCCGAAAAATCACGGATTTTGGGAAGCGCAGCGGACTGCGCTCGTGGAAAAATTCCCGCAGGCGGTCGTGAGAGACGACCTTCCGTTGCAACTTAATCGCATGCGGTTCTGCATCTTCTCCGAGCGCGCGTTTAATTCCGCTCGATGCCGAGCTAACGCGATAAGCTAAAACCCCGGTGACGGTGTATTCTCGGACTCTCTCAGGCAGCAGAAAAAGACGATCGGGAAGAGTTTTTGTTGAAATATAAAAATATAGACGTTATATATAGTATATTAAGAATCGCATGATAGCAGTTCGACGTCGAGATAGGACACGATTTCACCGTATCGGAACGATAGAAAGTTTCGTCCGTGTGGCTGAAAAACTTGGTGTTCTCGGTGCGCAATAGTGTAAGCGACCGAATTCACTATCAGTAAATAGGGAGTGTAAGTAACGTGTGTGTTGTCATACTGTGTGTTAGACGAGGTCAATTGTGTGTTGACAAATAAAAGCAATGACGCGACGTTAATGTTCGTTCAATGAAGCCCGAGGTGTCTCGAGAAAGATCAATTTATTTTCTTTCGTATAAACTGTGCTTTTACATTTGTTAACAATTCTTAGCGCGATTGGCACGCGTTAGGAAACAAATCTGTATAACGCAAATCTTTTAGATGTTTGTTATCTATTCTGCAATAGAGATAATAATTTTTTGAGGTATTTATTAATTGGCGTTTTCTTTTTGGAATTTTCTATTTTAGATGTTAATGGAAATATGTGCTTAGAAAATATTATTGACATGCTGGTAAATCTAAAAATAGCTCTAATATTGGTTCATATTATACATACACAATATTTATATACATCCATGTACATATACACAGACAAATATCAATTCTTATTCTTCTGAGAGTATGTAGTTTTTCTATATTTGTATGTATATTACAATATATATACACTATAACTTCTATATAGAGAATTTTTTATAGGAAAAATTATTTAAAAAATATTTTAATCAAATATGCTAACTAAAATATACAATATATTTTTTAAGTTTTTGTTCTATTTTGGACACTGATGTGGTACTAAGTTATTATAGCAATATTTTATAAGCATTTAATTAACAAGATTGTTTTCATCTGTTACAGATTTACTGGGGAAAATGTGTAATGTTGGAGTGATACAATATAGAGACATAGGTGGAGCAATTGAACATAACAGACTGTGGTGTGTCTCGCTTAGTTGATGTACGGAACATTGTCTCAAACGGTCGTCTAGCACTTTTGCATATCCTTAATCTTGCTCTGTCCAAAACAAAACAAAAAGAAAAATATCCGTTGTTTATAAAATCGCAAAATTTAATGAGGCTTGGAGTGCCTCAAAAGAGGGGAAACTTTCTTTTGAGAAGGTATAGCGTTCTACAATTCACTTTAACGAACAATGAACCATTCGGGAAGCGGAAAACGCCAGGCGAAGGTTTTGGAAGAAAATTATTGGGACTGCAGTGTCTGCACTTATAGAAATACAGCGGAAGCATTTAAGTGCCTCATGTGTGACGTCCGCAAGGGAACCTCTACGCGGAAACCCCGCATAAACCCCCAATTGGTAGCTCAACAGGTCAGTTTCAAGTGCGCGAATAATAAATATTGTGTGAAATATGTTAATTTTTTTTTTATGAACACTTATTTTATTTAAATGCACACTTATATTGTTTGCTGCAATTATTTTCACATTATTAGCTTGAAAAATCATGGCTACAAAATTTAATGTACAAATAAACACCAGTATTTCTTTTTCACATTTCAGGTTGCACAGCAACAGTATGTGCCACTTCTGAAACCAGGTAAAAAGGAAGGAAGTGGCGGTGGTAGCACAACCAGTGGCATCAAGGACAAGGACCGCAAGGACAAGCTGAGACGTAAGAACAGGCATCCGCCGCGTTTGAAAAATATCGACCGCAGCACAGCGCAAACGAACGAGGTGACAGTCAACAATGTTACCGTCACTATCACGGAATACAAGCCGAAAGTGAAGAAGGCATCGGACCAGTCGAGCAATGCTAGTTCCGAAGGTGGAAACCAGCACGATTCCAATCAGGACTCGAGAAGTCTCGATGTGGGAACCGACGCTTAGCTTAATGTTAATGTTAAAAAAAAATATATACATATATATATATATATATATATGTACGAATTATTCTAATTAATATATTATATACGACGTATATATACATATATATGTCAACCTTTATGGTCAACTGTTGTACATCCTTTTAGACAGAAACGACCATTGTTGACTGTCACTTTTCCGCTCGTTTGACTATGCGTTGCAGTTTATAATAAACCCACTAAAAGGTCAGACATTTTTATGCTATCAATGGGAATACATTATCCGTACAATTTTGTAATATTATTCGTTTGAACGAAAATTATATATAATTTGTGAATCATCGTTCTACTTGTGTTGCGATAATTCGCGTCTTTTTAAAAGCGATATTAGCGGAAAACAGAAATCGTACTCAAAAGCGTTTGTTGCACGGACCTCGAGTTTTTAATCTGTGTATTTATTGAAGTTAAAGTGTTATTTAAAGTGTCTCTGTGAAATGTGAGATACACTAAATTTATTATCACGCTGAATTTAAATAGAATGCACACGCGAGATTGTAAATATTTAACGCATTATGTCAATTGTGTGGAATTCTGCAAGCCATTGTTGACATAAAATTGTCCTCGACTTTATTGTATTTACCGAGACCACTGCCAGAAAAAACGTGTCGTAAGACGATTGTTATGTAGACTTTGTTAACGGGATTGTCTTACGCGCGCGCGACATATGACTTTTGCTTACTTTATACAATAATTAACCAGCGTGACTGGCATTGGTATGCATCTTTTATCCCATTCCAACTCGTTCGTGAAAACCAAATTTTTTTCCAAACGTTTTAACGAAAAATATTGCATGAATATATTTCCCCAATTATATACTTACGTATTTCGATTTTATATTGTACAGTTGAATTTGTGCTGATTATATTCGAAGCCCATTTCGATGTCTCTCAAACATTTATATAGACAAATATCGATTTATATATATGTAACATACACATGTACTTCTCGTACTGAATATGAAAAAACCATGTTTATTGAAGAAATAAAAATTATTGGAGAACGAACATTTTATTTCCAGCACAAACAAGCCAAATGGAAAAAATTTATAAAATGAAAAAGTGTATTATTATTAATAAATTTCGAGGGAATGCGGATACACTCAACGCGCGTGAAAAAATCTTCAACGTATTCGAATAAAATCATTTCATATAAATTTCGCGAAAAAGATGAATGAAATTTGGTAAAAAAAATTATGTCCGTAAACATTAAAAAGACGTTTTGTACAAGAATCCTCACGTGATCGATCTTTAGACTTGTTCTCATTATCGCACACACACACACCGATATCTTGAATTCTTCATATAAAAACCAAAACAAAACGTTGCATATATACACAAACACTTGTATGTTTTTACAAAAGAATTTGTAATCAATAGATCATCGGGTGACACACATTTAAGAACGATATACCAGCACGCAGATTATATTTTTACAATATTGTGGAATCACGTATAAAATTATTACCTTTACCGTCTTATCGTATAATCACTTCAGCTTCTCCTCACATGTTGCAAAGCTATCTGTACTTTAATAAAACATTTGAAGTAAAGAGCATGTTGTTTTCAAGTTTGTGCATTAGAGTTTTTAAATTATTTTGAAATGAAATAGTTTTATACTTGTTTACGTCTCTTTGTTACACAAGCTAGAGTGTGAATTCTATAATTTAGCATAACTCTAAAGGGAAAAAGATGAAAAATTCCACGGAGAACTTGGAGAATCGTTTATTTACAGTTTACAGGTGTATCATTGTTTAATAAAAAGTGTATATTCTTTTGAAAGTGTTAACTTTCAAAAGTCTTCCCTTTCTCAGTTCATTTACTAATTCTAAACTTTAAATTTCCATATCGTTTACATCTTCACTGATGTCCATTATATCGCAATGTTTGGATTTCTTTGCGGAACTATTCGACGTGACAAGTTGTCCGTCTGCCAGTCTTTCCCGCACTGATAATGTGAAATAAAAGTTAAGAATAACATGTATAATTTGTATAAAACAGTTTACACACATACCTGCAGGTATTTCCGAAATATCCAACACTTTGAAATTGTGCTCCTTGTTGTCTCCGCCAGCGGCAAATATGAATCCGTTGTCTGGATTTGCTGCTAAGCATTGTATTGCACCTAAATTGCTCGCTTGTTCGCATATGAGAGTAGGAGACTTTTTGTCAAGGAGATTCCATATTTTTATTGCACCGTCATTCGAACAAGAAACTAATAAGCCTCGGCATGACGTGCTAAGAGAAAGACCTGAAAATATCAGGTAAGACCTGTAGAACTTGCACATAAATGTTATATACGCAAAGAAAATTTATATTTCTCTCGAAAATCAAATAAAAATTGTTCACCTGTGACTTCTTTTTCATGGACTTTGATTTGCCATAATGGCTTGTTTTTTCTCACATCGTAGTATTCTATGTAACCATTATCCGTACTGACCTGTGAAGAAATTTATAAATGTGTTAAATATACAAATGTGTGTAATAAAAAATGACACTGCATAAGACTTACAATAAAATAATTCGGATCAAAATGATTCCACAACACCCTCTCCACTTCTCCTGATACTACCCAACTTTGTGCAAGTACGTCTTCTTTGCAGTTGAATAATCTTACTAACCTGAAGATATATTTCAAACAAAATATTTATGCATAAATACAAATATTTATATTACATAATAGAGCAATCAAATGTACTTGTCTGCACATCCTGTCAGTAGTTGATGAGTTTCCTGTGGATGCCATTTCAGCGCTTGTACTTTTTCATTGAATGAATCTAATTTGGTTGCAGGTTTACAATTTTCCAAGTCCCATAACAGAACTGTTTCATCGACTGAACCACTAGCAAGAATATGTCTGCAACAAAATAATTCTTGACTCACACACGACCAAACTAACCTTTGTTAAAATTAATTCTTGTTAATATTCTAACAACTGCACATTAAACTGCAGCTGATGGAAACTCACGTATAATTCTGGTTCCATGCTATATCTAAAACCGCATCTTTATGACCCACACGTTTCTGTTTCTTCTTTTTACTTGGTCTACAGCCTAACTTATAGGCTGGCTCTAAACAATTCATTATATCCAAATCCCATACTTCAATTATGGGAGTCATATAGCCAACCGCACATAAATTGCCTGTAAAAGTTTAAATTACTTCTTGAGTATTTAGAATCTTTTAGATATTTCTCTCACACACATTTTTATTATTCTCTCATTACATATACCTGGTTTTGAATCTGCAGGATCGTAATTAAGCCATTCTAAGCATAATGGAACTGAAGGTAGTAATATATCATGATGACAATAAAAGGATCCTTCTCTTTCATTATACACTGCAATTATATCATATAATTTTGTTAAATTTGTTTAAAAATTATAGTGTTTTAATCACACGTGTACACAATCTACAAACCAAATACTTCTAAGATGCTAGCATCTCTTTCAATATGTCCAACTAGCACCAGATTGTCATCAACCTTGATAATATCATCTTCTTTATCAGAATCATCATCATCATCATTTGTTATAAGAGGATCTTTACCATCTGCATCAATGCTGGCTACATTAGATATGTGACAACACATATTACCAGCTGTGAAACAAAACAATTGAATAACTTTCTTGTGTTGAATAACTTTAAATCTAATAATTCTTTTTAGTTTTTTCTCCTACACTCTGTATCATAAGCTTCAAAGTTGTATTCGTCAGCTGTGGAAGATTCTCCTTGAGTTCTTCTGTTAGATGTAGATGGTTTACAGATAGTCTCATCTTTGTCATGATCAGAATCTTCGTCATTGCTGCAAAAAATCTGGTGTGAACAATTGTATTGATAAAATATCACAGGCTATTTTTTACTTACTCCAAAGCAGATTGTGCTTCTTTTATAATCTTTTCGAGCTCTTCAGGTTTTAATTCGACCTAAAAATCGTATAAACATCAATTTTCATGTTGGAAATGATAAAACTCAGCTACACGTGTTGACCAAGAAACTAACCTTGTCGGGAACCGCAGCGGCAACACCTCTTTTTACCCAAGTAGTAGAGGGTATAATACTCATTTTTATCAAAATTTGTATAATTCTGACCTGTCTTAAATTATTTTTATAATAAAATTTCTATTTAAAAAAAAAGAAATGTTTATTTATAATACAATTTGTATTGAAGTTTATATTTGCTCTCATCACCGGTTAGGTTAGGTCAAATTTCTAGCTACATGTGCAGTAAATTGCCAGTGATGCCAATGTATGATGTTTCTTCAGAACCTTTTAAGCCTATGTCACACTACGGATTGGGATTGAGATTAGATTGAAATTTGACCAAGTAGAAAAAAGAAAACCAATCCTAAGTTTAGTGATCTTCTCTCTGATTGGCCAAGTTGCAATCCAATCTCAATCCTAATCCGTAGTGTGACATAGGCTTTACAGCAGTATAGTTTCTTTTTCAAATAAGATGTTTATCTTTTACTATGGCTGTGTTCCAAAATTTACTGCCAGCGCTAAAGATCTATAGTTTACGTCACATATATTATACAATTTTAGCACTGGCAGCGTGCTGGCAGCAATTCTGGAACGCAGCTTCTATAATGAGCGCTTTCCAGCTACGTACACAAGCTGTTTTAAGTCTATGTCACACTACGGATTAGGATTGAGATTGGATTGCAATTTGGCCAATCAGAGAGAAAATCACTAAACTTAGGATTGGTTTTCTTTTTTCTAATTGGTCAAATTTCAATCTAATCTCAATCCTAATCCGTAGTGTGACATAGGCTTTACACAGTGGTCTAGTTTCCACCAAAACATTAATTCACACCTACTGCGGCGTAGAATCAAATTTAAGTCGATGGAAACACGTCGAATTGCGCTCAATTCACTTTTGCTTCGATCTATAAGTTTTATCGGAGTGGCAGCGACGAATTGCATAGACGTAGAATATATAGACTGCGCACATTCAAATGAATAACCTAATATAAACAACACGCAAGTAAAACATACATAATCATTTACAAAAAAAAAAAGATAATATACAATAAAAATATAAAATTCTTTATTAAAATATAAAATATATGACCATGTACATTATTTATATCACTACCAAATACATATAATAATTTGTAATATTTGCTCTATTTGTGTTCTTTGGAATGCGATTTCAGTTGTTTCATCACAGTAGTTAAAATATTGCACAACTAATATTTCTGTTTATTTTTTTTAGCCAGTATAGCTGTCCCAGCCTTTGAATGATTTTCTCTGCCTAATTGTTTGCTGATGTAATCGCCTATCTCCACAGTTTTATCAAAATCTACACCAGTGTTTAATCCTTGTCCCTTTAGAAAGTACAACAGATCTTCTGTGGCTAGATTTCCCGAAGCACCAGCGGCATACGGACATCCTCCCAGTCCAGCAACAGACGAATCAAAGACTCTTACACCGCTTTCGAGACCTGCGTATACATTTGCGAGAGCCTGTCCATATGTATCATGACAATGCAGCGCCAAATAATTCAAATTATTTAAAGACACGGACAGCAACTCATTCAAAACTCGTTTGATTTTACTCGGTGATCCTACACCTATAGTATCACCCAAAGAAACTTCATAACATCCTAGATCCAACATCATTGAAGCTAAATGCGCTGTAATCGCTGGTTTGGTCTCTCCTTCATAGGGACAACCAACAATACAGGATATATAGCCTCTGATTTTAATGTCATGCCTCTTTGCCTCTTCTATAACAACCTTGAAGTTCTTTACACTCTCTTCGATAGAGCAATTGGTATTTGTTTTAGAGAAAGCTTCTGACGCAGCGCCAAATATTGCGATTTCTTTCACACCTGCTGCAATAGCATTTTCTAAACCTCTTAAATTTGGCACCAATACTGGATACGATACACCTGTCCTCTTTTCAATTCGTTGAAAAACCTGTACATTGTCTGCCATCTGAGGAACCCATTTTGGCGATACGAAACTCGTAACTTCAATACTTCTCAGTCCGGTCGATGATAGCTTGTTGATGAAGTCTACCTTGACTTCAGTAGGCACAATTTTCTTTTCGTTTTGCAGCCCATCTCGCGGTCCAACTTCGACAATTTTTATAAAATCGTCGTTATGTTGTTTTGAAGCATAGCTTCTGATATAACTGCAAAGTTTCGACGGCAATTGCAACACAGCTCGCTTTGAAAATAATTCCAACATTGTAAAAATATCGTACAAAAAACTGTTAACTATAACAGCGCGCGACTATTTCACAGTTATATACATAACACTATGTACAAATTATTGAGTGCTATTGTAACTGTTCAAGATTTGATGAGTTATTTACGTTTACTTTTTTGATGACGCATGTTTACGAATGATAACGGTTGATTCCTCTCTCAAAAAATATAAATAGATGCATTCACTTTGGGCGCTTAAAGGGCCTTCTACAATGAGATATTAGTAACAAATCAGAAGTCAGAAGCAAGAAATTGACCAATCACAGTCAAATCACAGAAGAATAATCGATTGTGATTAGTCAATTTCTTGCTTCTGACTTCTGATTTATTACTATTATCTTATTGTAGAAGGCCCTTAAGGCCGAAGCACAGACTTTTGCATAACGCATAAGACATAAGAGAATCAACCAATCACAGCTTTCTACAACAAGAAGTAGGAATAAAAACGAAAAGCTGGATTGGTTGATTTTCTTATGTCTTATGCGTTATGCAAAAGTCTGTGCTTCGACCTTTAAGGGCGATGTTCCATTGAGCGGAAATATATAGCGGAACGGAATGTGCGGAATTACCTCGACCAATCATAGCCATTCCGTTTTCTTTCCTTCGCTTTTTCTGTGGTTACGATTGGTCGAGCTGGTTCCGCACATTCCGTTCCGCTATAGATTTCCGCTCAATGGGACATCGCCCTAAGACTTATCTACATAAAGCCCGTTCTACATTGATCGCAAGCGCAAACGCAAAGTATAGATCTCGTAGAATTGACCAATCACGCTGGCCAATTGGCTGATTTGATCAATACGATTAGTCAATTCTACCAGACCTGTTCCTTGCGTTTGCGCTTGCGATCAATGTAGAACAGGCTTTAAAAGTCGTTCCAAAGTCGGAAAGTAGTAATTGGTTCGAGTTCTAGTAACTTTTTCTCTTTATTTCGCTACAAAGGCTGCGTTCCGATACGGTACTAGAAATCTATAGTTTAAAGTCGGCGTTGCAAACCGTGCTTGATGTATCGATGGGAATCGATAGCGAAGCGAGGTTTATAGTGGCGGTAATGTCCGAACGGAGCGTTAGAGGTTATGTTGCGTTAGGTCAAGTTATTTCGCGGAACAAACTTTTATCGAGTGTTTTAAATCATAAAAATGAATGAAAAAGATAGAAATTCTACTAGAAGCAAAAAGGAACTGGAAATTTTACACAAAGAAGCAACTGATGGCATCACTTGTAAAGAGGATTTAACTTCGATTTTCGAGCAGAATGACCACAGTGTCAATAAAGTCTATTTCTCGAAGGTATGTTTTACGCAATGTTATACGCGAACAAAATAAATAACAACAAGATTTGATGATGCAAGAATGCAATTAGAGTAGAAAAAAAAAACAAATTTATTTCATACTTCTATAATTGTACATCTATGTATTTATTTATGTATGTAGTTACTCCGTTTTTTATCTCTCTGTTTTTTTTTAAACAACATACACTGAATATTGACAATACAAATATCGCTGTATATAAAAGTGTTGTTTCCAATATATTTATTTTTCAAACGTTTGGCACATGTATGTCGCAAGCTGCATCGCAACCTGAGAACAAATGATATTAAGATATGAAATAACAACAAGAGAATAGTCGTAAGACTGATTTATCTTAGGTTCCACGAATCTGCATCGACGAGCCATGCCAACTGGGGGTGGACGAGGCGGGTCGCGGCCCGGTTCTGGGACCAATGGTTTATGGGATCTCGTACTCCCCATTGTCGCAGAAGCAATTGCTGGTCGATCTGGGCTGCGCCGATTCCAAGAGTTTGACGGAAAAGAAACGCGACGAGATATTCGATAATATTTGCCAGCACAAGGACAAGATAGGCTGGGCGATCGAGGCGATCTCACCAAACGTCATCTCCAACAGCATGTACCGTCGCACCAAGGTTTCCCTGAATGAAGTGTCCATGCTGTCGGCTATAGGCCTGATTCAAGGAGCGATCGAAGCCGGTGTGAACGTAGCCGAGATCTACGTGGACACCGTTGGCAAACCGGAGACTTATCAGGCGCGACTGAAGGGACTGTTTCCTGGCGTGAAAATAGTCGTGGCAAAGAAAGCCGACGCGACCTACCCGATCGTGAGCGCGGCCAGTATATGCGCCAAGGTATCGCGGGATCATGCGATTCGCGCGTGGCGGTTCCGCGAGGGCGACGACATCGGCACGGAGTACGGGAGCGGTTACCCTACCGACCCGGTGACGAAGAAGTGGTTATCCGAAAACGTGGACCAGACGTTCGGTTTTCCGCAGATCGTTCGGTTCAGCTGGTCCACCGCCGAGCAGATTCTCGAGTCAAAGGCGTTTCAGGTGGACTGGGAGAAGATCCCCACGCAGGAGAACGCGCAGAAGATCTCGAAGTTCTTTGCCAAATCTCCGACGAAATCGTTCAACGTTCACACGAAAAAACATTTGTTTTTCACGGAACGCTGCCTGTCCAACGCGAGTGTTTTATGATACTCACCTTCACGGTTTTCTCTTTTGTTGTTTTATCACGTAAATGTTTTTTTTTAAAGATTCTTAATGAGGGAGTATAATGTACAGGAATTGTTATTACACTTCCGAGAACCTTTTTATTTATATTTATATATTTATATATTATATTCTGTGGTTTTTTAAATATGCACTAATTATTGGTAAGTTTTATATAATAGCTACACATATATACATATAATGAGTATCTATTGTTTTTGTATGCTTTTTATCGAAGATAATTTTATTTATAATAAACATTCACTACTGCTCTCATCTTTTATTACTGTTTTTTTATTAGATCGATATACAACACATTCGAGAGATTCGCGCGATCTAAAGAAAATATTTCCATATATATATATGTATATATGTTTGTATGTGTATATATATGTATATATATATATACATATATACGCATATATATCTATATATATATGTATATATGAATTTTCAACAATATCATTTTTCCCGTTTTGTAAGTTCGTGATATTACAGTGCGTTTTACGTTAAATCAAAGACAAGCACGTCTCTCTGTCTCTCTCTCTCTCTCTCTCTCTCTCTCTCTCTCTCTCTCTCTCTCTCTCTCTCTCTCTCGACAGTTTTTTTATACATACAAAGTTATATACATATGTACAGAGTGTGCTCTTATACAATAGCTATATCGTAGATAAAGAGAGAATGTGGCAGTTTTACTTTACGGAAATTTCTCTACACACCGGTGCCACAGTGATTAATTATGTAACAATTAGCAATGCTTAACGTGAAAGGTTCGAAATATCTTTGGTAAAACACACGCCTACAAGTCACACACGTCGTACAATTATTCCTATGTAGAACATTATCTTCTTCGTTTAACACACAATTAATAGCGACTAGATCGTTAAGGGCTACGGATAGGTGGTACGAACAGAAAGGGCGATTTGTTGCGCTGCGTCGCCGTTCTTCTTCGCACAGTTCTGTACACACACACACACGCTCCACACAAACGTACACACACACACCGGATTCTCGATTCTCGTGTTTACTTTATCGATTTTACACGCGGCACATAAGTGCAGCGTCTCGTCGTGTGTGCGTCGCCCTCGTTTTCTTAAACTAAATACCTGCCGTCCAAAGTGTATACCGATATGACTCTTCTCAAACGAAATCTCACATTCTCCGCGCGTGCGATATTTTGTTTTTTGTTTTTTTTTTTTTTTACATTTTCTCGAATTCTCTCTCTCATATGTTCAATAAATATCTCTCAACGAAATTAACGTAAAAACAAAAAAAAATACATACAAGCAAAATTTACAATTTATTATTTTTCAAATAATTCAATTTTTTTGGAAGAATTTTTCATATTCAAATCGTTAATTATATTGCCTCTCGCAGCCAAATAAAGGACACTTGTATATACACTCTTCATCGTTTCTACGATTCAGATATGGCGCGGGTAATGAAAATTCGATATGCGCTAGCCGCACACAGCGGAGAGAACGTTCATGTACACAGTCCGAATGCGCGAGTGCAAGCGCGCGCGCGCACACGTGTGTGTATTTGGAAAAATCGATTGATACACTTTACGCATGAATCGCCGCAAACGATATAAAAAGTCACGAACTACGAATTTTCCACGATAAACGCGACAGATTGTGACTTGTGTGTACTCTATCGACAAAACGCATACGTATCGTACGGGTTCCGCGTGTCTTTCGCGTGACCACGCGAAAAATGTGATTGATGCGCCACGAGAAAATTGAACGACCGAGTCTCGCCGTGGCGCGATACTCTCTCCGATGACTTTTGTTTTTTGTTTGTTTGTTTGTTTGTTTTCTTTTGTTTCATCATCTCTGGCGCGCGAAAAGATCTATCTTGTTTTTTTTATTGTTTTTTATACAACGGAAATCACAAAAGAAAACTTCCCCGCTACACGTTCGAGCAAAGATCCAACGTACAATACAATCGCGTGTTCGTGATTCGCCTACGATATTATTACATGATTCTCTAACTCCACTAATTGTAATTTATAAAAAATATAAACAACACGGGTTAATTTATTAATTACGTAATCATGTGTCACACACGAGGATGGCGCGTCCGCAGGCCTAAGAGGATGAGCACGAGGGACACAAGTTGCGAGTACTTTACTTTCGATCCTTACCGCAGCATCAGCAGCCCCATGACCACCAGAACGACGCACGGTCCCGACGTTGCGCTTCCGTTCGCTGAAAACAAAAAAGAAAGAGAAGAGAGATGGAGGGGGAAGAGAGAAAGAGAGAGAGAGAGAGAGAGAAGGAATACATCGTTACCCTCGAAAGAGAGCTTTCATAAATATTCAGGAAAAATTCAAACTTCGAAACTTGACGCCAGAGATTGAAGCTTAGTTAGGCGAGTTTGGCTAAAGCGATTTGCGCTCGAGCGCGCTTGTAGTGGGGGGAGAAAAAAAAAAAGAAGAAGAAGCGGCTGAATTAAAAAGGGATCGACAGGGATTTCGCGTCCGCGAAATTGGATTCTTAATCTCTCTCGATCGTTCACGCGTCTCTTCCGCGCGATCCGGAGGAAGTTTCAAAATTCCTTCCTATATTTCCTTACAAGCGCGATCCGTGAAACGTGTTTCCGCACGAAATGACTTACGTGCGTTCGAGCGAGCTGAAGCTCGCTCGCTCGCTCGCGCGCGATGGCACTAAAACAGCAGCGTGGGTAGGTATATCGTCGAACGACGTCGAGTTGCTAAACTATCCGCACGTCACGACGAGCCAACGGGAAGTTGGAGATGTTAACACCGAAAGGGCCGGGATCCATTATTTCGGTCGCTAAACCCTTCTCGCGCGCGGCCACAAAGCCTACACTTTTTGCGGACTTGTAATCAATATTAACGACGTGGACTGTGAAAAACGTCAGTTTTTTTCACGGCTTGTGAAAAGCGATTCTTATCCCTCTTTATACCCGCCGAGCCGGGTAATGGTGTTCTCCCTCCCTAGATACAGACCCTCTCTTCTCTCAATTCTTTTGATAGTAATGTAAATAAAACGTCACTCGCGCGTCGAGTCGATATTCCGCGATAACGCGATCATTTTTTTAGAAAAATTTCAAAATTGACTTTCAAAGATTCGCACACGTGCGCGTCAATTTATTACATTAACGTTATACGTGGAATAAATAAAAAAAAATAAAAAAAAAAAACAGCCCCGACTGACGGCAATGTTTTATTTATTAATTTTTATCCGCAATATTTGTTCTCCTTTTATTCTCTCTCGAGTATCATCCTGTTTTCTTGAGTGGAAGATATTTAAATATGGATTTAAAAAAGAAACAATTATTCCAGTCCCTTTAATAATACTCTTTTGAATGTAAAGAAAGTGCTTTTCCCTTTAAATAATCGGTCCCCCCTGACTTTCTATACAACCGTGTGTTAAAAAAGCACGACGAAGAAATCCGTGTTCGTGCGCCGGGGGATAAACCGCCCTCGCCGCTACGTCATCTACTCTCAGTCAAGGGCCGGCCGGTGGAGGAGGGGAGGGGGAGAGAGGTTCTTTTTCCTCTTTTTTTTTTTTTTTTTCTTTTTTTTTTACCTAGGATATGTTCGGCGTGCGTATGCCCTTGCGCTCTTGTCTCCCTGCTCTCCATTACCGACATCTTCACAGGCTTCTCCTTGTCAGTCTCACCCTCTATGCTGAGCTCATTCGATTTCCAATATACGGTCGCTATCGTCGCCAGGCATTTGATCTTCAAGTTTCCCTTCTTCCCGAGGTACTGTCGTTGCAGCGTGAACTCCAGACCAAGTGTGGAAGTCTCCAGACCCTCTTCGTCAACGACGGTGTCGTAGGTCTTCAAAAATTTTCTCTCGACCTAATCGAAGCGAACAAGTGTATATAGTCTCTCTCTCACTCTCTGTCTTTGTTTCTCTCTCTTTCTCCCCGATCTAAAGCGCATTGTCAACGCGTTTGGAAATTATTTCAACGTTCAAAGTGCAGGTGTGTTGTAGATTTTTTCTTTTTTTTTTTTTTTTAATACAATGTAATAACATCGCCAGGGAGATGCATCGCCGCGAATTAAATACCGCATTATCTTGTCTAATCTACTTCGTTCTCGGAAAATTGACTCTTGACCCGAGAGCCACCTGAGAAGAGAGAGGCGAACACTATATAAACTTTTAATAGCGTTCACCGGAAGATTGCTATCTCTCTCATTAGGTTTTATTATAACATCTGCAATAAAAATTAAGAAACACTCTAATATGTAATCATAGTAATGGGATTATTTGATTATTCATTTCCCCCGTGTGTTCGTGGTACTTTTTCGGCGGAAGTGGTAAATAAATATTCTTATTTCACGAGCCTTTCATAATGGAAACGAAATAAACGACGCGTTATAAGCGACTATTATGCGCGCGGCGCTCCGTTTTCGCAGACAAAGATTATCTTTTAATCGTAAGATTATCAATTCGAATATTGATTAAGCGTAATCCAATTTTAATAAGCCGCGTGTTAATGCGGACGCACTGAAATACTAATCAGGCAATTTCGAGCGTCATCCCGCGCGCTCGCGCGCAACATCCGAAGATTAATTACCCAAGAGCCAATTATTTGTTCGCGTGTGTGAAAAATGAAAAGGCGCTCCGCGATTAGCGCGCGCTCGATGAGCGCACTTTCCAAAATTAATCCTCAAGCTTTGTTGGCGCGTAATCGCGGGTCAACGGGACATTAACGACGGCGGCGCGTTATATTCTCGCGAGGGGGAGGAGAGAGCGAGCAAAATTCGCGGCCGCGGCTTATTGCCGCGACGGAAAACTTTTGACAGCGCCCGGATGAAGGAGGGGAAACGAAACTGTTACGACTTTTCCGACCGTCGAGCGTCGTAGCACAGTGATATCAAAGTGCGCTTTTTACGGACGTAACCTCGTAACTCGTGTGTCACGATGGCGGTAAAACATGATGTATCACGAGGAAGAGAAGTCCTTATTAAGATAGACGTGGAGATTCAACTTTGTCACTTGTACGGCCATCTAACGATATTTTAGCGTCAAACACTTTGATTAATTGAAGAGGACACGGAAGTGATATGTAATGCAACGTTTGGATTTTCGTCTTAACGAAATCATTCAAAACTCAATTATCGATGTTGCGCCAAATTGTACGAGACAAATTGAGAAAAATGTTAAATTAAATTTTAAATCGCTCGGAAATAAGGAGAGAACAAAGATTGAGATTTAAAATTTTAACAAACGAAAGATATTTAATGTTCTGTTGTAAATTTTCAACGTAAAATGTTAAAACTGTTATGTTTTAACAAAAAATTGAGGAAACATTAAAATTATATAAATTTCAATTATTCTCTCTTGTAGTTAAAAACATAATATGACACAAAAGATTTTAGTCGAAGAATTCGCAGAGAGAGAGAAAGAGATTTTTTTCTTTATTTTCTGTAAGCGCACTAGGAATTCTGAGACTCTAGAGACGGATTTGTGCCGAGATCGCGGCTTATCTCGGACTTTGGTGACGCGCGTCACCGCGAAGTTTTACGCTACCCGATGAGAAGATGGTTACGGTATATAAACAACAGAGAAACAGAGGAGGAGAGAGAGAGAGAGAGATGCTTCATGTCTGGAACACACTCACGGGTTCGCTGTTGATGAACCAGCTGAGAGTGGCATGTGGCTTCGACTTCGCCGAAGTGCAATTGAACCGCATGATGTCGCCGCTATGATAACGTTGTCTCCCGACGGTTTGCGCCGTGATACTGGGCTCGTTCTCCGGCAGGGCTGGAAATATCGGAACTCTCCTAAGTAACCCTGTTGTAGAGAACGCGAGGAAAGGATCGGTTCCTCGATTAATTCGAGCGACGGGCTTTTAGCCTGCACGCCAGCACGAATATTTCAACGCAATACCGCCTGACCGTAATTTTGTTGCGGCCGGCTTAACTTGTTTACGCTTACCGGCGCGGAAATTTTAACGAAGTAACACTTTGCTGTAATCATTGCACTCAATATATAATGCACTTAAACAATATACACATATATCATACGTGCAGAATATGTGGATGCATGCAGTCACCGGCCGGCTGGCGCGAATAATAGCCGAGCGATCGGAAATGTGTGTTAAGCTGGACATTCCCCTCTGCACTAACGCGAATCACGTTCGATTTCGCGCTAAGAGTCGGCAAAAGAGTATAAATAACAATCGATGCGGATTAAAAAAATATCGGATGGGGAAACCAACGGGCGAATCTTATTTAGACTTAAAGGATCTCTCCGCGTGGTTATCGGAAAATCTTTTTCAGGCGATATCTCGCGCGCGATGTTGTTAATCAAGAGTTCGATTTGTGCGTGAAAAATGAGCGAAGTAATCTGAACTCCAAATACATATCGAGAGACCAGATTATTCTTAGCTCGAAAATAATAATCCGTCGAGTGAAAAAATTCTGAACAAATTTAACGTCGAAGAGATATATTTAATATCGAGGAGATTAAGTTAAACAATATTAATTAAAGTATATTGACTCTGACTTTATCTCTTCTCGTCTTCGTGCGAACGAATCTCTGCGCAAAAAACTGAGAGAAAAATATAATATTTCTGGAAACCACCATGCGAGGTAATAAGACCTCTGATTAACGGGAAACGTTTCAAAACCATTGAAGACAAAAAACTTATGAACGAGATATTACTGTTATAGGATGAATCGTCAGCGATTCGTCACAAGTCGCGGAGCGTTATTTGAGGAACAGATAACGCCCATTTTTCCCAAACGGATTAAAACTGACGCGACATAATTAACTCTTTTGGAGATATCGGAACCGCGAGTTCCTTTAATTCTCGCGCTAAGTGGCTTATAAAATCTTCAAAATCCTCGAAATTCTTAATCTACCATGAAAAATCTCTCTTCTTCTTCTTCTCCTTTAATGCGAAACCAAAATTTATCCGTTAAACGACACACAAATGTTTGTCCACAAATTCATTCAATTTTTCTTTAAGATTTTGTTAATTCGGACACGCGAATAAAATAAAAGGAGGATTAAGTCTCAGCGCAAAGGTCTTTTTGTTTCCCGAATGTTTGAATTTAACAATAACTGTCCGAATAATAATAATAATAATAAGAACAACAGCGAGAATAAATCAACGACGCAACAACATTCCCAAGTTTTCGAGGATTGGATTAACGCGATTCCTTTGAAAGATAAAACTCTTAATTAATACCAATCTGCTTTGTGTGCTTGCTCACCGACTACCACCATGTCCGAATGGTCGGACACGGTCTGAAAGTAAGGCGCCTCCGCCGAAACTTCGCATCTATAGCGTCCCGAGCTCATAAGGTTCACGGAATCGAGAACGACCGACCGTTCGGTGGAATTGTGAACCTGAAACACAAGAGAAAATAGCACGAAATGTACATAATTCATCATTTAAATAACTCCCTTGCGTCGTCATCACAGTTAATACAAAACATCCGCAAACTTTTGACGAAACGCGAGAGAGTTAGAAAATATTTTTTTCAAACGATTGTTATTTCAACACAATGGCGCAAATTTGTCTAACACCGAGGATAAAATATTAATTTTGAAAAAAAAATCTCGGAGTCGACTCGGCGAAGCAAATGAGACCTGAAAATATATTCGTATTATTCATCTATTCGCGAGCACAAAATGAACTTCTTTCCAACAACTTCCGGCGAAATTTCTCTGCGAGCGCGGTGAATCAACCCCTCTCTATCTGTACAGACTTTCGAAGGCTCGCTTCGACGGAGTTTCCGCGCCGTGCGGAGCGTACCGGAATTTTTTTCGTATCACTCAATGGCGCGGAAAACCAAGCGAGTGATATAGTCGGCGAGGAATTGAAATTATTGGAAATATCATTAACCCCAGAAAAGGGAAGGAAGAGAAAACGCGGGAAGGGAGAACGCGGCTTACAGGGTGGAACCCCTGTCTCGGGATCAATTTGTAATGCGTTATCTTTTACGGGCGATGACTACGACCACGGCGACGAGGACGACAAGGACGAAAAGCAATTTCAGACGTGCCCGCGACGACGACGCGCTTTAACGAATAACGTCCCCTCCCGTCGTTAAATTAGTTTCGCGAAGAACGCGAGGCCACATCGAGAGGGAAGAGGTCATCGTTGTCGGCATCCCCGTAATTTTCATCTTCACGAACCGTCGAGTAGCACAGCGCGCGTCTCGCGATTCATTATACTAATCGATGTAATTATAAACAAGCGATAACAACGCGACGGCGCGAGGGTAGACCGATAATTTGCAAGGACGCGCGAGCGCCAATCTCGCTCCCGGTGATTAATGTTAATATTAAGGCTCATTATGACGAGGAGATCGCGTGCTTCGCCTTTGCTTTTGTTTGTCTGGCCGCGCGCGCCGCCGTCTCGCGCGTGTTAAAGCAAGGCGTTTATATTTGACGCTCCGGTGAATGAAAAGCCATTCTGGCCGCGAGTATTTTCCGAAATGAAAATTCCTCTGGAGGAAAAGCTGCCTCCCGCGTTATGCGCGCACGTTATCTATTTACGTGGATAAAGTCATTTTCGCAAACGATGCTCGTCGCGTGTTCAGCGCGCGGATGTATGTCTCTCTATGTAGAAACTTGCAAATATATATTTTCGAAATTCTCGCATTTACGATCTTCATTACCGCCAAAGCACTCGCGTTCTGTTTTTATTACCGTCTTTATCACGACGGTACACATGCACGTACATGTATACGCGTACGTCGAACAAGCGGGAATTTCGTCGGCAGCTCGAACGTATTTCCCTCGAGTTGGTTTCACTCCTCCCTTTGTGTGTTGTTTTGTTTGTTTGTTTTTTTTTCAAGTAGAAAAATATTCGAACGAACAACAACGCATACGATTTATTTTCCAACGACACAAATACAATGGGTCAAGAACAAGCGGAAGAACGACGAGCTCGGTTGCCGAAAGCTCGGATTTTAGCTCTCGTCGACTCTGACACGCTCCTGAAGAAGAATCCGGGAGGAGTTCGCGCGCGATTGAAAGTGGGCCAATCATCGTGCCATTCCCATGAGAACACTTCCACCGGGGAGACAGGCAATGGCGCGCGGCTCAAGTGAAAACCCCCCCGGAATCAAAACATCGTACACTATTCCAGTCCCTTCTTTGTTCTCGTACAACTTTAATTGTGCTCGTCATCGGTTAACGCACGTTGATTGCCACATCGCCGGGGTATTTACAGCAGATTTCGTCAGACACAAACACGTTTATGTATTAAATAAACTTTTACTTGTAATCAATTTTATTTATTTTTGTAATATTTGTTTTAATTGGTTTCTGATAGAAAATTATTTTCTGCTGATGTTTGTAATCGATAAAAATAAGACTGTTGCAAATAACACATCGGGCGACGATACGCGATAAACCTCAAAAGCCAATCGCTACTCGACCGTCGTCTACGCCACGCGGGGATTCGTAGTGCAAGAACGGAGGAAGTTGCGAGTTTCAAACGTAAAATCGTGGTTTCAAGCACCGCAAGCCAAAGCAGATCTCTCGCGAGTTACAGGGTTTTATGTCAATTCCGGGCGCGTGCTGGACCTTTCAATTTTGTTTGTTGTAGCGCAAAATAAAACAAGAGTCGAGAAAGGGAAATTTGGCTTGAGATTTACTACTCTACAATTTTGTTTTCCCCCGGTGGTGGTTGTATGTAGGCCTTACAGGTTTACATCTCGCGTTTCCCTTCGCGCGATTTTCATTTCAGATCAGCGTATAAAACTAAATGTTGAGTAATTAAATGTGAAGTAACAGGGGGAATCCTTACGATTACCGTAACGCCGGGCTGCTTGAACATCTTGAAAGGTGGCTTTTCCCGGGGCTCGTATCGGTAGAACTCGTTCCCGTCCTTGTACCACTTGACCGAGTATAGCTTCTCGCCATCCAGATCGAACTTGCACTGGAGATCTATATTTTGACCGCGTATCACGTGCCTAGGCACCTTCAGCTCCAGCATTCTCAGGCCGTTTGTTCCTGCAAGCACACACGAGGCAGAGGGCGAGATCAGAGAAAAGAAACGCGCGTGTTTTATGTGTGTGTGAGAGAGAGAAAGAGAGAGAGAAAGAGAGTGTGTGAGGGAATGATGTTTGCGTTGAACGTTACGTGAAGCGCTTTTCCGTGAACAGCGCGGAAAGGTCTTGCTTTAAGGAAATTAAACCAAACGCGAATAATTGGAGTAAACCAATGTTCTCGCAGTTTGTTTTACGCAACATCAAATTCTATCGTTGGAAACTGTTGTGTTTTAACTGTTGCGCAAATCAAAGGAAAGGAGTGTGTATTACACTTTTGTTTGAAATCAACGATTTCAGATACTTGAGAGAGAAAATGCATTAACAACTTGTAATCCATTTTCTTAAAATTCTAACGTCGAGTTTTAATTTTGTATAATTCTTCTATACGTTTTTTTATTTCTCGCGAAAGATATTATATTTATGCCCTTTGTCTCTATAAAAAATCTCAACACATTTCCCTGAGATACGATTTTATTTATCGTATCTCTGACATTTCTCAAAATCAAGAATTTAAAACGTTCGCATTTTAATACGAAAGCAATCGTTACGCGAAGCCTTGCCGCTCCGATGCGCGCGAAGCGACAACGCAAGCGTCAGAGTTGCTCCTCTTTATAATATAGCAGCGTTTTCAAAAATTCACGATGAATCGCGGCGACGAGGCTTCCGACAAATAAACGACAAAGCCCGGGAAGATCGCGATCCCTCTTTTGCCGAGAGACGCATGACGTCACCCGAAAAGAATGAAGATCAAAAGAGCCGCGAAAAGGTAGAACAGACGAAGCGGAGCAAAGAAGAGGAAAACGGCGTCTCTCCTTCGTGGAGGATGCTCCATGCGATTCGAACAACCGGGAATATTCCACGAGAATAGTATGTAATCCACGGAACATACGATGTGCTTAGTAAGCGAGAGAGGGAGAGAATCTGTAGCAACACACACGCCTCGACAGAAGCTGAGAGAGGAGCGGAGTAAGCAGAAGGAAGAGGATGATAACGATAACGTCAGGTAAACAGGTGGTTGCCGCGAACGACGACGACGACGACGACGACGACGACGACGACGACGACGACGACAACGACGACGACGGTTACGACGTTTATAAACAAGGTATTAATTTCTTGACATATTCTTGCTCGCGAGAGAGAGAAAGAGAGAGAGAAAGCAAGACGAATTGTTTGAATGTTTATTCGAATAATGACGCTCGTTTCTCCGGCAATTTAATTGTTTTCGACAACGTCGAAATTATATTATGAAAGAGAAAAAAGCAATTTAAACGTCGTAATAAATTGCTTTACGTCTTTCCAAGAAGTAATTTTCTCTCTTTCTATAATGAGATTGAATTAATCAATTCACGTCTTGTATTTCCGGCCCTTTGCGCGCACCCCGCGAATGGTCCGTAATTGAAGAGAAGCTAAGTGTAACGAAGCTGGTTTTTTTTTTTATTTAAATTTAATATTCGACAACACGAAGAGAAAAGGTCCCGGAATCGCCCTTATAAATTTTAATGGAGAACGTCGATATGACAGCCGCTTCAAAGCGGCGCGCCGACTCGTGGAATTTCCAGCGCGACGAGTTAAGTGAAAATGTACTTTTGATTGCCGCCTTTACGTGGACAAGCGAGTAAGTACAAGGGATAAGCACAAAGGGGAATAAGTGCGGCAGCGGCGGCGGCCATGGGCGGCGAAATGTTTCTTCCCCCCTTGACTTTTCGCGTTGCTTGTTCCTTCTCTCGTGATTATTTCAATTATTCCGCTATAATACGGTGTACAGCGAAATTTTTTTTTTTCGGCCCCGTAACAAGAGAGTTCCATGGAAATTATAATGAAGCGGGCATTTCTCTCTCGACCGGAACTTTTTTCCTCTCTCGGCGGAAAGAGAGAGAGACCGTGCCGGAAAAAAACCCGGTCTCTCGACGCCCATGACCGCGCGTTGTGCAATTTCTGAAACGACAGGGATAAGAAATAATTCCTGCGCTTCGTTACGTCTAGGTATTACGAAGACGAGGAAACTGGCTTGTGGCTTCCGACGAGGTGACCATATTTTTCTTATGTACACACTCGCTCACATACACACAAGAGCAGAACGATAACATGGAAAAACGTACAATAATATTTCCGGAGCTAAAAACTTTTGTTAAATCAACTTGCAAAAATTAAGACCAATTTAACTAAGATAAGTTTAGATTCTTTTTCTCTCTTACCAACGCCGTCACGCAAACAAAACAAACGGGAAACGAGAACGGAGAACCAAATATCGTAAATGCTAATTTGTGATCAGCACGCATACGAATTTCCTTCCGATTATAATTCCGAACTGCAAACAGCAGGGAGCACTAATAGACGCTTCTGGCGAATTACCGTCGCGTTATAGCAATGTGACGATGCGTGACACGGATAATCGTGAGAACCGATGGATCGAGTCGCACGCCGGAACAAACGGGCGAAATTCTCACGCGTGTCCGCGCCGTGTTTGCTCGTATAAAGGAAGCGCGTGCTGGTGTTACGACGACCGAGAGCTCCGCGTCGCTCATCGCTCTCTTCTTCTCTTTTCTTTTTCGGCGCGCGTCGTCACGCTCTATTTAACGCGCAAGTTTGCGCCAAGTCGCGTTAACGAAAAAGTTTCGTCGCCGCGATATATTGAAATTCTGCGAGTCTACAGACGAATAACAAACCCTTAGAACAAAAACAACACGATTGAGATATTTATTATTTAATAGAAGTCCTAATGGAAGTTTCGCTGATATTTTTGTACGGCGTATATAAATTCTGTAACTCTCTATTAAAAACATATTAACGAATAATAAGAGAGACGGGAAAATTGATAGATAAAATATCGCATCACTTTAAGCGATTATTCAATATGTTTTTCTTTGCCTAACAAAAATAAGCGGAGAAAGCGGAGCGGAGCATCGCGGTAACCGCTAATTTGCGGCGTCAAAGTTAACGCAATCGTCTCGGATGACATTTTCGCGTTAAACGGAAATTCGACGAGATACCGACCGCAACACTCTAACGATATTATCGGTTTTTCGTCGACGAAAATCTATTCCGGTATTCGTAAACATAATTGAAAATTGCATTATGCTTCGTGTCCCAGAATTATCGTATATATCCCTTTTGCGTAGAACACGACTATTCGCTTCGGAACGGGTGTTATCTTTAATCACAATATCGATATTTTTTCAAATATAGTACAAAATTATTTGCAAAATACATCGTGAAAGGTTCTTTATCGATTTCGTTCCATTCGAGATGTCTGAATAAAATTAAACTTGGAGCAGATTTATAGCGATCAAAACCGGCACCGGAGCTGTAAAAATTTATCGCGCTTGCGCTTATATCCACGTCGCGTGGCTTTTTTTTTTTTTTTTTTTTTCACGCGGATGCCTCGCAGCGTCGCGCGTCGTCGAGCGACTCCCAGGCAACTTCCTTAATAAATGTCCCATGCGCCTGTTATTTTATTATAAAACTGGCAGGATCGCGACGATGCTCTCGGCCTTTTAATATCCGGGATACGGGGATGAAGGAGGAACGAGGAGGAGGATACGATTCGTCATTTTTTTCCGGCGTTCTCGTCGAGCGACGAACGACGGCGCGTCGCGTCTCGTCCTTGATTTAATATAAAATAATGCGAACCGCTCCCCCGCACACACGTCGCCCTCGTGTTCTTTCCGCGCGGCTCGCATGAATTATATCAGCGCTTTGTTCAGACGTGTGTGCGGGTTCACATCACACGACATAACTCTCGTATTAAACGACAGTCGCGACGTCGTCCTGCGGCACACACATCCTGGCCGTGTTCCAAGAAATATATAACCATCGTCGCGCCTGTCATCTTATTCTAATTAATGAATTATTTCCATGTGCGAGGAGGATAAGTTCATCTAACGTGTCCGTTTAATGTCGCACATTATGCAGCTGTCAAATTAAATCGCGAACGTCACACTCAGGTGTGTCTTTGAGGTTTTTCTTTGAAAAAAAAAAAAAAAAAAAAACTTCATATAGCGTGGCCGTTATTATGCAGGAACAAAGGCATTATAAGAAACGTCGCGGGAAGGAAATTCTCCTTAAGTATATGCGCGACGGCGCGATATACAGACATTTAGCTCTGCATCACGTAAACTCTCGCGTTAACTAACGCGACGTCGAACACTTGATCCTGAGTTTCCCCGCCGAGTTGTTGTTTTTTTTTTTTTTGTTTTTGTTTTGTCGCTCTTGCCTTTTTTTCGGGACGAAAAATACCTTCGCGTGTTACGAAGCAACACAGTATGAAAGGACGCCGCTTTAACAAATTGCCTTTTAACGATCCGATACCAAGGGTGGGCGATCTCGTCCTTTCCTAGGACGCGCATTCCGCAATGAGCATTCCCGTGTGTAGAACACACACAAGCCGGTTAATTTAACGTAAACTTTCGGCGCGCGCGCGCGCTTACTACTCTCGAGTTGCATAAAATATGCGAAACATAATGAATTTGATCTCGTGCGGTGGCCCGCTTGCTCCTTTCTCTCTCTCTCTCTCTCTCTCTCTCTTTCTCTTTCCTTTTTCTTCCTTTTTCATTTTATCGAGAGGGGAATGAATCGTACACAGAAGGGTCATAGTCCATAAATTCCCGCCGATTTAACCCTATTATCGAGGATCGCCGTGGTCACGACGACCACGTCCAAAACTCCGATACTACCCCGTCGTATACTACCGTTCGACGGTGTAACCGCAGTGCCTAGACATTGTTTGGGTGAATTTTTCACATTACTTTACTTTTGTTTGAATAATATGGCAGGCACGCAGAGAGAGAGAGAGAGAGAGAGAGAGAGAGAGAGAGAAAAAAAAAGAAAAAGAACAAGGAGATCTATTTTAATTTTATTTATTAGCGCGGAAAGAGAGAGGGAGAGAGGAATGAAGCAAGTAACATTTTATTTAATATTTATTCGCCAAACAAAGGTTTTTCACCCCTTTATTATACCCAT